AAGCAGCACCACCAGCTACCAAGCAGCAGCAGCAGCAGCAGCAGCAGCAGCTACCAAGCAGCAGCAGCCACCAAGAAGCAGCAGCAGAAGCAGCAGCTACCAAGCAGCAGCAAGCAAGCAGCGACCAAGCAGCCAGCAGCAGCAGCAGCAGCAGCTACCAAGCAGCGGCAGCATCAGCTGCCAAGCAGCAGCAGCAGCAGCAGCAGGTACCAGGCAGCAGCAACATTAGCAGCAGCTACCAAGCAGTAGCAGCAGGAGCTACCAAGTAGCAGCAGCAGCAGCAGCAGAAGCTACCAACCAGCTACCAAGCAGCAGCAGCAGCAGCAGCAGCAGCCAGCAGCACCAGCAGCAGCAGCAGCAGAAGCTACCAAGCAGCTACGCAGCAGCAGCAGCAGCAGCAGAAGCTACCAAGGAGCAGCACCCACTAAGCAGCATCTACTAAGCAGGAGCTACTAAGCAGCAGCAGCAGCAGCTACCCAGCAGCTACCCAGCAGTAGTAAGAGTAGCAACAAAGAAACACAAAAACAGGAGCAGCAGCAGCGACAAAGAAGCAGCAACAGCAGCAAAAGAGCAGCAACGAAGAAACATAGAAACCGGAGCAGCAGCAGCAACAAAGAAGCAGCAACAGCAGCAAAAGAGCAGCAACAGAGAAACATAGAAACAGGCTTGCTAAAGCAAGACAGACTCCAGCTAGCTACAACTAGCTTTCGTGATTTAGACCTGAACTCAGGCAACGGTTTTAAAATTGACAAAGAAATGACAGTGGATCTCTGGGAGTCTATATTAATCACATTTCAGCATAGCAACATCCAAAGGGTTGAAGCCCCACTAAACTCCAGACCAAGGTTGTCCCTGCGCCCTCATATACGAAAGTCACTGGCGCCAACCAGGAGGGCACCCTCCAGATCTGGTATAGATTTTCACAGTTTCACATCCAGAACGATTGTTCTTGACAGCCTCTTGCTACGAAGAGTGGCCTGAGGTGCAGGTACTAACCTGACTGTCCCTCACTAGTAGAGACAAGAAGAACAAGCGCTGTCTACTTGTTCAATCCCTGTGTTTTTCTTTACACTGTGTTACAAGCATAGTTTGCGTTTAAAACTCGAAAGGTCCGAAGATGTGATGAGGTCATGTTGATATATTGACATTTGAAAAACTGTATACATACTCCTTGAGCGGAGGGCCGAAAGGGGAGGAGCCAATGGGAAGGGACACAGGAGACGACAGGGAAGGAAGAGAGAGAGAGAGAGAGGGAGAGAGAAAGAGAGAGAGAGAGAGAGACAAGAACTGGGTTGGAACCTATAAACTTGCAACAGAACTTGCAAGGGGGGCCCTTTAAGGCATTCAAAAACAAACGTCTTGATGCACCATTTCCATACTCTCCTGATCAAAAACCAACTTGCCTGTCTTGCCTCTAGCCACGAGTGTTTCCATCTTCCTGGCATTAGTCACACTTGTCACAAACAATATGTTACATGTTCTCGCCACTGAACACAAAACGATGTTAGTCTGCTTGTCAAGTGGCCTTCAGACTTGCGACTGCCAGCAGGGCCCTGCAAGAGATTGCAGGCTCATCGTTTTTCAATGTAGAATTGTGTAAGCCGAACTGAAACTTTTACGCGTTTTCAAATTAGGGCCTGAATCTCTTGCACTCCGTGAAAAATATCCTAGATTTCCTTTCATTTCAATTTTCACATATTTTATTCACTTTCATTTTGTGTATCTTTCAGTCCCTTCAGACCCTTCATTGTCGTTTTTCATCGATGTAAAGAATGGATTGTCAAGCCATCGGCGACCAGCAATTCTCTGGGGGGATAGCGCGGCTAGTAGTAGTAGTGGTGGTGGTAGTAGTAGTAGTAGTAGTAGAAGTAGTAGTAGAAGTAATAATAGTAGTAATAGTAGTAGCAGTAGTAGTAGTAGTAGTAGAAGCAGACTAGTTAGTACTAGCGCTAGCACTAGTAGTGGTAACAACAATACTAATTAATAGAGCGGCAAGAGTTTTTGAAGGAAACTCCTGTGACGGGATAGGATTTCCTTAAAGCAACCATCGCTGTAAGACATGGTTGCTAGATCCTTTGGGAACTCGCCGAACCTTAGATCAGCGAATCACTGAGGCCCTCACTTTCCTGCCTTCCTCACCTCTCGACGCTTTCGTGCAGCTGAGGCCTCATGAAAACAGCACTCACTCAGGGAAGCCGCCGAAAGACACACCGATCAAAGCGTCAACACTCCACTCCCAGTGTGTGCCGCGTGCTCCTCAGGCAGTGTCGAATCGAACAACTATATGAAACTTAACGGACTTGCGTCGACATCTTGCCGAATGGTTGCTCAAGATGCAATTCCTCGAGAATTGGTTCATCTTTCGTGACGAACCTGGGAAGTGACGGGACGAAAGCCAGCTCTCGCAGAGCAACGTGTTCCAACAAGCGACGTGAAAGCTGCAGCACTCCTGCACCGACCCCCTGATAATACCCAGATCGTTCGTAAAGTTCACTTAAATAACAATGCTCGAAGAATCTCGAAGATGCATCTGCGGCTTCCTGATTATTTCTCCAATGCCCCATGGCTAGAGCCCGCTTCGGAAGCGCCCTCTTTTGCCCCGAGGCGGCCTCCAAACAAGGGCAGCAACAAAACTAGGTCTTTTGGGGTGAACTTGGCGCTAGAACCGACTTTTCCAGAGGTGCCCTGTTTGCTGGGAGACAGCCCCCAACTGCGGCTTACAGGTGTTTCTTCGGCTCTCTGCACGGAGATACGCGACAATTCATCTCAAGCAGCGGCTCGCAAGATTCAAAAAAAAAGTATCCTCGAAGATGCATTTGCCACACCCTGCTTTGTCAATGGTCTTATCACTAGAGCCCGCTTTTCGGGGGCGAGGTTTCCAATGAGACGGCCTTGAAACGAGGCGCAATAGGGCGTCAACCAAGAAACCCCTAACTCCCTGCATCTAAATCCACTGCGTCTTTCCACGCCTGCGTCAAGAATTCGGTCCATGCACCAGCCAAAACTCGCAGGCTTTACGACTTTACGAGCTTGCCCCCCATAATCATCTCAAGCTGCGGTTCGCAAGATTCAATGAAAAAAATCATCGAAGACGCGTCGGCCATGTCCTGCTTTCGACAAGAGTCTTATTGCTAGAGCCCGCTCCTGGAGAACTTGGTAGTAGAACCCGCTTTTTCTAAGGTGTCCGGTTTTGCCTCGAGACAGCCTTCAAAACACCGCAAGAAGCACCAACCTAGAAAAGCGGTCCTGCGTCTTCTCAGTATAGAGCCCCTCTTTGGGAGTATCCTTTTTCGCCCGGACACGGACCCCACTTTCTCAGAGATTCCTTGCTCCTCTTGCTCAGGGTTTTGCCGAGCAACCAGGGTATTGGCTTTACTAAGGCTTTTGGAAGCCACACAGGGTTTTGGCAACCAGGGCAGAGATTGGTTTTTACGTTGTTTGGACAGCGTCGGGCCAGGCTTGAACCTTAGATAGTGTGGTCGGACCTGCCACTGCGAACAAACATATGGACTCGACGAGCTAAAACGAAAATACTGTAATCAAAAGGTGTTTTCATACGGAAACCGACAATTTGCCAAAGCGCTCCAAAACACGCCATCATGCCCAAGCGACGACCAAACGACGCTGTATCAACACGCCGCGCAGCATCACTCGCATCACCATGCCCAACACAGTCACAGCCCACACCCTAAAATTCACTGCGAACAGAACTGACTCTATTATAACATCCTCTGTGGAATAACCGGTGGGGGTTGAGAAACCCATTTTATAGTGATAAATGACTGAAGCAGGTAACCAGGCTCTGGGAGCACAATGCCCCACTATAGAATCTAGCTTTCAACCCTTGTAGTGTACAGCATAGTTTCTCTATAGAATAAAGGGAGTCAACCTCTAAGGCACTAATGTAACAGAATTGTAGGCTCAAAATCTGAATTATCCAATAGAAACAGCCAGGGGTGGTCCTCATTCTATAGACAAGTGGGTGTAACATCAAGCCTGACGTATTATTTTAGAGGAAAGTTACGCAGCAATGGCAAAAGAGGTTTGCATTTTTCTATAGAAACCTGATTGAACATTGCAATGTTGAAATTCATTCTATAAAAAAAATTGGACAGAAAATGACACTCCAAAAACAAGATATGTCTATAGAGGTTGATATTCATTTTATAAGGACAGGGTTGGACACTCACAGGTTGATTTTTTATTTTAGAAAGGTGGGCTGAATTTTGAACAAAAAATCATTTTATAGTGGGCCAATATTCACCGGCTATTCCACAGGAAATGTGGGAATGCATTCACCAGATTGCACAAGAATGCGCCTTTCGTGAAATCAGAATCAGAATCCAACCTACCTCACTGTAAAACATCCATCCACTCTAAAGTAAACTCTCAACCTTGTACTGTTCCAGGTTCTCTCTATAGAATCAAAACCATGTCCTCTATAAAATGTCCTCAATTGTCATGTATTCTCTATAAAATGAGGGTGATCAACCTATTGACCCATCAATATATGATTTTCTCACCTCAGAGATCCTCAGTGTGGATCTGTCTCAGGTAGGTTGACATTTGATTCTAGAAAAAACCCTCTATAAAATGCCAGGTCATTTTGGAGCTCGACCTCTCCCATTCTACAGGGGTTATTCGGCAGAGGATATTATAACGGCGGGTTTTCGGTACGAATGGTTTCCACACGGCATCATTACAGCAGCGCTGAACTCAAAAGTCAAAGCGCCACCTTCCAGAACCAACTCCTCAACACACCCTGCATGGTCTGAACCCTACCCCAAGCTATTGCTGCTGGGGGTTGAACCAACGTTAAGTTAAGGGGCTCGCAAGAAGCTAGCGCGTGTGAGAGTTGATACGGAGCGGTTTAACACATGTCCCACACTTCGAAATACTATTTTACCCCTAAAATCCACCAAACATCTGCCATCGACAGTGTTGGCAAGAGTGGGAACCCCAACAAATTTGGCGCATAATGCATGGGAAGGAGTCGGCAAAACAAGATCTGGAAATTACAGTTGCGCAGCGCAAACATGATTGGCGGAAACACGGCTTAGAAATATCATTGAACACGGCTTAGAAATATCATTGGGGCCGTAATGCGCCCATGAGGCCGCGGAAAGGTGCCTTCTGAACGCGTCACGCGCGCTTGCATTCTTATGAGGCAAGGCCTAACATACGGCGTGGGCACGGGGCACGACCTATCTTTATCCTCTGTCCTGCGCCGCGGCAGCCGACGCGCAAGCCCATGAAGGGCCGGGCAAAACTGCACAAACACTGATATTTGACTAGCCTTCAAGTTCAAACTGTCTTCAAATGTTCTTGGCTAAGCTCTGCACTTGAGACGAAGCTTGACCTTCAGAAAATAAGTTTGGAAGCTGTAGTCCAGAAAACTGCACTCCAGCCGGCTTTGTCATGGGCTAAGATATCATGGCGGTTGATTTGTCTTTCGGCGCATCTTATTGGTAGCTCTCTGCACGGCCGTCAAAAGTTGCCCTCTTGAAAGGCATCGCCAAAATGTAGTGGCTTGTGCCTCAATGCCTCCGCAAACTGGCAAACTTCTCACACACAACAACCCAAGCTTGTCCCGCGCGCCACCTAATCAAAAGCAATGAGTCGTCCTCTTCCTCCCGCACGGTTTAAAGAAATTCCACACATTGAGTCACAGGGTACTTGAGGGCGGCATCCTGCTCCTCACAGACCATCCTCCCAATTTTCTTGCTGTTGGTCAAGTCCGTTAAATTAAAACAATCCCAAAATCGTTGGCAATCTTTCTCCTGTACCCATGCAGGCCAAGCCTGTGTGGAGATGATGTGCACCCTGAGGGCAGCCATCCTCATGAGAAGGTTTAACCACCAAACTCTGACAACAGTTGGTCCTCGAGCACACCGTCATTTTGATGCGGAGAAAGAAGAATACCGCACCTGTCTTGATCTGCCTCCATGACGCCATTAAGTTTGGCACCAAGGTTGCACCGCTTAGTCAGATCAACAAAGCGCCAATCTTCCAAGCCAACTGACCACGCGTGGCACCGCAATGCAAATGGAAAAGGAGCTGCGCGTTGCGCGGTTTGAAAGGAACCTGCTGTAAGCGCTAACGCTGCTGTAGTTTGAGCCGCTTGGCCTCATTTTCCTCCAGCTGCCGGGTGAACTTTTTCATCCTCGCGTTTCTTCTTCTTCTTCTTCTCAGTCTCAAACCTGGTTGCGCTGGTCAGCGTTCTCTGGCAAATCCTTTTGGGCCTGCGCAATCTTGGCTTGGATGTCCCGAAGGCAAGCTCGGTCTTGACACTGTCCACTCTGGCTTCTCAACAGTTTGAGGCGCCTGACGGACTGCGTAGTTACAATTGTAGGCTCTTGCTGGCCACCACGATAATCTTCTCCACCGCAATTTTGAGGATGGATGACCTAGATGATCCTTCAACAAGGTGGCAGGTCCAGCGGAGGTGGGGGCTCGGCAGCTACAATCCCCAGCACCTCATCTTTCCGGCCCACCGTTTGCCCAGAGGTGGGTCGGTGAGAAGCCTTTTGATTGGACTTCTTTGGCCGTTGGCCCTTGCCTTGGAAAACTGCATGAAGCCACGGCCCTCGTCTCTTCAAGTCCTTGACAAGCGGTTGCGCCAAGGTGTCATATCCAGCCTTGTCGCAGCTGCCACACACCAGGCATTTCTTCTGCATTACCATCCCAATGCCTGGATGGGATCTGAGTCCACCTCGATCACTAGCAAAGGCCACCATACAATTGAAAATCTCTTTGATGCTGGGTTGCCCTCGAAACCAACACATAAAATACGCAGCGCAGCGCTGTGGGAGGCGCACAAGCGGGGTTTGTGGGGACGTGCCTGAACCTCACAGCCGTGAGCCTTGAGCCCTAGCTGTTGAAAACATGTGTTCTCTCTCTAAAAAGATATATACACTCCTTAAATACATGTCTGACATGTCCCTGCTCTATGCTTGGCTCGGGTCTTATTCTGAGTAACAAGACCTCTCACTTGAAGTTGCAAATACAGTATAATTATATACATTCTCTTGGTTGTGGCAAGCGCTCGAAGCCTTGAGAGTCATCTGCCGAAGGTGCCAAGCCTAGCAAGAGCCCCAATCCAAGGTTCAAACAACTGCACAACACGGACAAATGTTACTCTCGTTTCAAAGCGGCTCTGAGTATATTCTATCAACTTCATCAGCCGTCTGCAGCTTAGAACAGTATCAAGCACTCTCTCTTATCTTCATCCGTCTTTTTCATCTGAGGATGCAACTCCCTTTCCTGCAAGTCAATTGATTATTTTTTCCGCTTCTCAAGTGCATGCATGGCTTGCAACAGTCAGCACGAGTGTTCTGAGACATCTGATCAAACTTCGGTGGGGTATGGAAACGCAATCCGATACACTGTACATTCTCTCCTTTGCAACACCTGCGCTTAAGCTATGGCACGGATCACTGCCAGTCACTTGCACAATAGGTTCCTGCGCTTGGAATTGAAAAGACTTCAACACTCTCGCCGTGTCCTGCCCGCTACGAAGTTCACTCGAGTCATTGCCTGGCAGGAAAGTCATTTCCTTGCGAATCGTGCACCATCACATTATGATTCGCTGCACTTCTTTGCTAAGCATGTCGGCAGTACAAACAGTGCCTTTGGCAGCGCTTTTGCTTTGGGAGCTGGTGTGGACTCCTCACCAGCTCGGCTGCTCGAGCCAGGGCCACATGCTCAGACTACGGTTGCTACAATAAAATATGCGGATTTTAAAATACAGTAGCCGAACAGGTATTTTAGTGTACCTCCGTGCAGGATCTGCTGGGGCCGCACAGCCATTAAAACATTGCGGAAAAGACCTGCGGAAAGGCATTTCCTGAATCATTTCACCAATTCGGACTAGAGTCAAGCTCAACAGAATCTTCTCTTGGCTGTGAACTAGATAGCAGGTATTGGTTGAATGCCGAGGCATTTGGCTGCCCTTAAGAGAACTGCGTGGACCCTCTTATGTGGACCTTGCCTCAGTCGACCTTCGTTTAGTGCCTTTCCTTACATGGCCCCTGCTTACATACGTGACGCCCCCATATGTGGAAACTCTTACATGGACCCTACTTACGTGGACCCTCTTACTTGGACCTAGCTCTGTAGGTGGATAGTCTCACAGCAACTTTCCTTTTGCGCAGCCTTGGGTGGAAGCCTTGGCCGCCCGTAGGCCTTCATTGGCACGTGAGGAGCCAAGGCCCCCACATAAGGCCCGGCAATCGTGCTGAAGGAACTGCACATTTAAATATGCGGAGCCGCCCGTCGCCTCCAAACATACGGACAGAATAGGAATTATACACTACCTCCAGGAGGATCAACCCTGGGCCGCCCTCCACATATTTTAATGGCATAACCGGCGTAAACGTACGTCTTAGGTGGGATGCTATAAATTATTAGGATTGTGTGAATACTACCAAGTCAACTGTTTAAGTACAGCTCCAGGAGATCTGCAGACACCATGTGATCAATGGCACGAACAAAGGCAGCAAAGCAGAAGAGAGCATTGGTCAAGCTATGCACTAGCTGTGAACAAGTAAAACTTCTGGCTGACTATGTTCTAAAGGACCCGTGTGTCATAGTTCTTGCAAGCCCTAAAGCAAATGCGCACAATGGACTCAAAAAAGCACAGGCAGGCACATTAACAATTGCGAAACAACGCCATTAGAGAACCTATGGAATACGGTGCCAGCATTTCGAGAGACATGAGAAGTCTCATGAACTCTCATATTGAATCGGGGGTCATTGATTCCCAACAAATGCTTTTTGATAACGGACGATCACTCGGGCTTGTTTGACCCAGTACGTAACTTTTCTCAACACTCAATGTCGTCTCCTTATCTGCTTCATCGAGTTTGGCTCTATCCTCCGATGGTTCTTCTTTCTTCTCATCTGAAGCCTCCGGATCAAAGAGACATCCCTCCTTCAATCACTCCCATTCATTCAACGCGTGGTGCTGCTCATCGACCGCTTGCTCAGGTTTCGCTTTACGTTTCTCATCTACAGCACAATGATTGAAACTCAGCAACACCTCGGAATTGGATGCTCCCAGGTGCTGCAGGTCAGTTCCATGCTTTCCCGCAATCTCTTGGAAAATCGTTGCATCAGTCTGCAGCCTCCCCAAATCTGCCCAGTTTAGAATATTGTGTTGCGTTTTGTGGCTGACCATCTTGTCTGTTGGCTTGCCATTCTATTGGACTGTATGGGCTGCTGTGTGTCTCCGCCCGCGGTGTAATCTCACACATTTAATAATATTTAATATATGTATATATGTTTTTTTGTTGGATTTCAGGGGATACAATAGCTATATCCCCAAGAGAACATTTTCTTGGTCAGTAGCCAGTATTGCGAATTGCCCAAAGTCTTTGCTGCGAAAATGGTATGTCATTTGTTCGGGTCATCAATGTGTGCACACCTTGGGTTCAAAGGTCAGCTGTTGCTGTAGCAATGTCTTCGTTGTTGAGCAGATTTTGGCGGGTCAACGAAGCTGACGATGAACCAACGGATATGGAAATTGGACATCATTTCCACCTACCTGCTGTAGTTCAACTGATGATTGTTTGCTGTGGTCCACCTGGTTGGTTCCTGAGGTTGTCCTTTGCTCTGGTAGCTAGTTTCTAAAATGCTAGTCGGCATATGAATTGGAGAGTTACTGATGATCGAGTTTGCAGGTTTCCATTCTTTCACTTGAACATGGTACTTCGACTTTGGCTTGAAATTTGACTATTGAAACTTCGAGTTCACGTTGAACCTTGGCGCTTGGCAGTGCGACATTCCGGATCTTCGTCTACGTTGGGACCCCACTGCAAGAATCACTCGTCTTTTTGAGGCTACACTGGAAACAGGAATCCTAGAGTAGGTCTCCTCGGAGCGGCCGCAACTCTTCAGCAGTACATGCAATACTCTGTTCTCAAGCGTGTTGATAATGTGTTCTGAAGGGCCAAGGGAGTTGAGTTGATAGATCCCGACATGTCAAGAATAGCTATAGATCTCGCAACATGCCAAGAATAGTTAAATTCAAATCTAGACATGCAAATTCTAACAAACTCGTGGGTTTCATCGAACACTTGCTTGAAAGAACATGTACCCAACCAAAGAGGTATCTTAAGTACAAATGAACAGTTGTTTGTTCTTTGTCTAAAGCTGGACATTGCTTGTTCCAAAACAACTCACCTCTCGATTGAGAAGGATGTAGATGATGTAAGTTGCTATGAGTGGTCATGTTGCACCATGTTGCAACAACTGGTGCAGCATGTTCATTGCTTGTGCAGGGCCTGGACTAGTACCAAAACCGTCGCAAGGTTTTCGCATACATTCGCAGTCGCACATCCATGCACATCCTTTAATTCTTTGAAAATCAATGAAGTATTGTATGATGTATAATATGCTTTTGATTGCTTTTGTGAACCTCAGGAAGCAAAGTCTTGTCTGCACTGCCTCACGTGTTTTATTCGTGAGTTTTTAACTCCATGATCCTCACACGCTTCGCACGCTTCACGTGTCCGATCGGCCTGGGAGGACCCAAAAAGGTTCGCCACAGCCGACAGGATGCTCGCAGCTTCGGCCTCAACTGAGCTTCGAGTTCCGGAGAGCTTTGCCATCTGAGCTGGAGCACCTGCGGCTCAACTTCTGCATCCTGGCAAATCAACCACAAAGCGTCCACACATGATTGGAATCTCGCCAAAGTTTCAGCAGCGTGACACAACGGGATGATGGCTCTGCAACATGGGAGTTTTTTTTGTATAGTTTTTTCCTCCTTTTCTGGGTGCGCCTCAACTTTGGAATTACCAAGCAGCATGGGATAACTAAGCAGCTCTCCAACTCTCTATGTGGTTCAAAAACAACATGATATGGACAAACATAAACACAAAAACCTTTGATTGTATCGAAATTATGACAAACATGACACAAATTGACAGATTCAACCAAGTGGTAGTTGTCAATTGAGCGGTGGTCGAAACCCTTTAGTCTTGGCCTTATAATCCTTCTTTGCTTACGCGTCGGCTTCCGCAATGCTTACGCTATGTTTTCGCTTATGCCGTGATGTTTTTTCCCGAATGCGTAGCGAAGGGTTCTCGTTTATAATGGGGGTGCGGGGGTTGGACCGTGTTCGCCTCGCGTGGTCTGCGTCGTCGTTTGTCGTCGTCGCAGGGTCCGCGGAGTCCCGCAATTTGCCCCCATTGAGCGAAGCTTTTGGAGAAGTTTGCCGATGCCGGGTGATCGTCAGATTCGTCGCCCATACCGTGGCTTTGGGACGTCGGATGTGGGAGGATGAGGTCAGGATGAGTTCACCGCGAAAACTGCGTAGTCACATTGGGATTGGTGTTTAGAGGGTGGTGTTTTGGGGGTGTTGGGTGTGGCCGTGCCATTAGGATTTGCGTTTCAGGTTGTCGCTTCGAAGCTGTGTTTTCGTGACAAGTCTCAGCAAAAATGACGATTTTGGTGGCTGGGAGCGTGCTCTGAACGTGTCGAAATCAGTCCAAACGTGTGGTGTGGTGCAAATTTTGGTGAAACTAAACATGACTGCGTGATATTGTCACTTTTCGTGGCAGGCGCAGCACTTTGCGCAGATTTTGAAGTGTGGAAGTACAATTTTCGTGGCAGGCACAGGCGCAGGGAATCGTGAGGTTGCGAGGTGTGGCGGAGGTGACATTTCGTGACAGGCGCTTTGTGCGTGTTAGACGTGTGGACGGGCAAATTTTCGTGGCAGGCGCAGGGAATCGTGAGGTTGCAGTGACGCTGTGACATCGGGATTGGCGTGTGAGCGGGTGTTGTTTGGAAGACTGGAATTGCAAAACTGCTTGGCAGGGCTGCTTGATGCGTGTGCTCCGATGGAGCTTCCCGCTTGACTTTTGGAGGAAGTCTCGTACGAAATGCTCGTTTTGGAGACTTTGACATGTCACGTCACTTTTGGAGGAAAAGCCTCGTACGAAACGCTGACGTGTGACTTTTGGAGGAAGCCTCGTATGACAATGCTCTGTTCGACCTGAATGAGCTGGAACTATACACGCGAGGGCGGTGGCGCTGCCGGGGGATCTGGCCAGTATGCTGGAGGCTTCAGGGGGGGGCCGAGCGGCCAGTTGAGTCGCCGCCCGCCGGTCGGACCGCCAGCAGCGGGCGCAGATGAGGAGGCGGCCAGATGAGGAGGCGGCCGGAGGTCGATGCGGTGATGGCGGCGGCGAGCCTGGCGGAAGCTCCGCGTGACTTTTGGAAGAAGTCTCGTACGAAACGCTCGTTTTGGAGACTTGACGCGTGACTTTTGGAGGAAATGCCTCGTATACGAAACGCTCGTTTTGGAGACTTGACTTGACGTGTGACTTTTGGAGGAAGTCTCGCAACAGTTGACTTTTGGAAACTATATATAGTCCCCCACACGAGTGTCCCACAAAAGTGTCCGACAAGAATGTCGCACAAGAGGGCCTTACAAGAGTGTCCCACAAGAGTGTCTCGCAAGAGTGTCGCACAAGAGTATTCCGCAAGAGCGAGGCTCATGAGTGTCATACAAGAGTGTCCTACAAGAGTGACAAACAAGAGTGTCCCACAAGAGTGTCCCGCAAGAGTGTCCCACAAGAATCTCCAACAAGAATGCCCTACAAGACTGCCCCGCAAAGTGCCCTACAAGAGTGTCCCGCAAGAATGTCCGACAAGAGTGTCCTACGAGAGTGTCCCACAAGAGTGACTCTTGGATGTCATTCTTGTGGGACACTCTCGTAGGACACTCCTGTTGGTGACTCTTGCGGAACTCTTGTATAGGAGACTCTTGTGGGACACTCTTGGACACTCTTGCGGGACACTCTTTGAGGACACTCTTGCGGGACAGCACTCTTGCGGGGCACTCTTGTAGTAGGACACTCTTGTGGGGCATTCTCGTGGGACACTCTTGTGGGACAGTCTTGTGGGACACTCTTGTTTGTCACTTTTGTGGACACTCTTGCGAAACAGTCTTGTAGGACAGTGTCCCACAAGAGTGTCCAAGAGTGTCCTACGAGAGTAACCCACAAGAGTGACATACAAGAGTGTCCCACAAGAGTGTCGTACAAAACTTTTTCGCGAGCGTCCTACCCACAAGCGTGACAAAAACAGAAAGGGACGCTATGCGGATGTGTGTTTTACGGTGGTAATAAAAGCACATGTGTTTTTAAACAAATGGTAAAAAACGCAAAAACAACCGTAAAACACACACCCGCATAGCGTCCCACTCGACAAAAGAGTCCCACAAGAGTGTCCTACAAGAGGGTTCCGCAAGCGTGTCCAACAAGTCTGTCCTACGAGATTGTCCCACAAGAGTGACGTAATTACAAGAGTCCTAGCAGAGTGTCCGACAAAAGTGTCCTACAAGAGTTTGCTACAAGGGAGCCCCGCAAGAGTGGACAAGGGTGACAGTGTCCTACGAGAGTGTTTCAAAGAGTGTCCTACAAGAATGTCCCGCGAGAGTGTGTGCCCCACAAGAATGCCACAAGAGTGTCCCAAAAGAGTGATCCCAAGAGTGTCTTACAAGAGAGTGTTGCGCAAGAGTGTCCCACAAGAGTGTCCCGCAAGACTGCTCGACAAGAGTGCCTCACGAGAGTGTCCAACAAGAGTGTTTCGCAAGAATACAAGGGTGTCCCACAAAAGTGTCCTACAAGACTGTTTCGCGAGTGCCCTACAAGAGTGTCCCACAAGAATAACAAACAAGAGTGTCCCGCAAGAGTGTCCCACGAGAGTGTCCTACCAGAGTGCCCCGCAAGAGTGCCCCACAAGAGTGTCCAAGAAGACTGCCTCGCAAGAGTGTCCTGGAAGAGTGCCCCCACAAGAGTGTCCTGCCAGGATGTCCCACAAGAGTGTCCTACAAGAGTGTCCCGCAAGAGTGTCCGACAAGAGTGTCCTACGAGAGTGTCCCACTAGAGTGACATACAAGAGTGTCCCACAGGAGTGTCCTACAGGACTGTTTCGCGAGTGTCCTACAACCCACAGGAGTAAGAGTGACAAACAAGAGTGTCCCACAAGAGTGTCCAGCAAAAGTGTCCCACAAGAATGTCCGACAAGAATGTCCGACAAGAGTGTCCTACAAGAGTGCCCCGCAAAAGTGTCCTACAAGAGTGTCCCACAAGAGTGTCCAAGAAGACTGCCTCGCAAGAGTGTCCTACAAGAGTGTTCCGCAAGAGCGTCCCATAAGAGCGTCATAATATAGTGTCCCTACAAGAGCGTTCCGCAAGAGTGCCCCACAAGAGTGTCCGGCAAGAGTGACCCACAAGAGTGACCCACAAAAGCGTCTCCTACAAGAGCGTCGAAAATTGTCTGGGTGTGTGTTTTCGAGTACGTGTTTACATTCGGGTTCGTGGGTTCCATCTTGTTCTCTTAGGGCTTACGCGTTTCTTACGCGGCGGTTTTGTTTCCGGCGTTTTACTGCCAGCGCGGTGAACACTCTTTGAATTTGTTCCCAACCTGTCAGGTGAGGGTGGTTGGGCGCTCCCGGACCTCAACCGCAAGCTCCAGATCGCCGTGGGCACTCCCGGCTTCTGAGGAGGGGATCACTCGACACTCGAAGTAAAACAATTTACACGTTGCTCGTATGATTCACTTGGTGGAGCCCGCTGCTTCTTTTTGTCAGCCATGCGCAAGCAGGTGGAGCGAGGGTCAATTGCGCTTTGTGCTTGAAAAGTGCATTTCCCGCGCAGCTGCTTGGTTTGGTTTCTTCAGAAAGGTGGACGTGAGCAAAGGGCTTCATCTGAGAAGTTCGCCTACGCAAACCTTTATGCGGGGCTTACACGGAATTCCTGTGGTCGTGGGCCACTCGACCCCTGCAAACAGGGCCTTTCTGAGCAAAAACAGTAATAGCCTCAAAACTGCTTACGCGCCTCTTACGCGTCGAGTGTCCTAAGCATGGCTTCCACCGAACCCGTACCCCGTGCAGACTTTAGCTTACGCGACAGTCTTGCAGTTTAATCCGATCATGTGGTTCTTGCATAGAGGTATTGAACGCTGCTCAATTTCCTGCGACAAACCGTGGCAGGTCCGCCAGAGCTTTCTCAAGTTCCTCCTTGCTGATTTGCCCATCTCCATCAGCATCCAGTTTGCTCATGTCGACCTGGAACATCTTACATCGTCTTACCAAACTCAAAACCCGCTTCATGAGCAAAGGCGCAACCGTGTGAGTAGTGAATTAACGAACTCAAGGCAAGAAATGCCCAGGCAACGCACAGCAAAATCAACAAGGAAAATGAATAGAACACAGGCCACCAAAACAATTCAGCGATTGAAAAAATCCCTCTCTACATCAAAAGGAGTATGCCAGTGGCCAGTTGCCGGCGCGGCCCGGTGGGCACAATTGACGCAAAAACGACTGTTTTTTGTTTTCCTGGTTCTGCTTTCTCAGCAGGGTTGCGGTGTCAGTTCCTAAGTTTGCTGCTCATGTTTCACAAGCAGCATCCCTGCTGTACCAATGCAGCCGAGTAGGGTGCATCTCTCTCTCTCTCTCAGCGTGAGTGCACGTGTTTGTGCGTGAGGCCCGCAGAAGAGGATCTTGCACACACACTCAAGCAAGCTGGCAGAAAGGCCACCTCCAACGAGCACCGAATTGTTGTCAACAAAGACTAGACAAGGACAGCTACAGCTACGAATCACCTCTCCCCACAACTGAATGGCGACAATGACAGCCAAAAGTTCGGCTTCAAAGATAACCGTCGCGTCTTCTTTCCCGGGTATCCCAAGGCTTTCAACTCATCTGTGGAGAGTCCCAAAGAGAAAGCTGAGACTACCTTCCCTGTGTCATCGTAACGCACTCCTCCTATACCACACGGCCAGGCACCGTCCGCCGGTTGGAAAGAGGCATCAGTGAAAATGAACCACTGGCGGCCGGATTCCTTCCCTATGCAACGAGGTTGAGGGTTTGCAAGACTCACAAGAAAATGCTTCAGCGCTGTGACCCTGCTGGGTTTCAGAGTCCAGCTGCTGTCACCATAAGCGTGGGCGGACACTGCACTCAAGCACAGTCTACTAGACCTTCCCCAAATCTGCGCACTGGCAAACTGCATCCTACCTCGGAGCAACAAGGCCTGTGCTCTGGTCATGCCTCCTTTGTCCAGGGTGTTTGTAATGGTCTCGGTCATTTTCATCACTTTTCATCATTTTGTAAAAAAACTGTAGAACAATACAATCCAAATATAATTTGATTACGCTCACAGAATTTCTGTTCCAGAGGATTTAGGTTCAATAGCGGTAGACTTCAGTTTTGTAGATTAGATGAAGCGGCCAGCCATGGGATCGAAGGGCAACAAGACCTTGAAAAAGGATGCACTTAACAAAAAGACCTTGAGAAAGGTAAACTCCACCAACTTGATAAAGTTGGGTAAAGTTTCTCTGAAGGAGAAAATTCAGAATGCAGTTGAAGAGCATTCTGATGAAGAGACCCAGGCCATTGTTCTCCACCAGTCGATGACCCCTGGTGAGAAGAGCAATGCTTGGAACTTGGAACCAGCACCAAACACACTTGAAAAAGTGTGGGAATGAATCCTTGAAAAAGGATTTTGAGAGTTTGGACAGAAAGGGCAAAGGCCTCAGCACAGCTCTGTTCTTGCTCAAAAAGAACAGAGCTATATATGCCCATGTGTCCAAAGAAGCAGCCAAAGAAACCTCCTTGAAAAAGAGAGAGAAATGGCTGAGTGAAATGGAAGCAAATGCCAAATGGAGCCCTCCAGAGTTGGAAAAGCACATCCAGTCTGGAAGGGTCATTTGGCGAGAGTGTCCCACCTGTGGGGTGTCTAGGAATACCAAGACACTGCTGACTATGAAAAAGAGGTGGTGGGCAGGAAGAGATGCTCCTGGCAATTTGGCCAGGAGTATGAGCCTGGGGAGGAGGATGAAGAGGACTGGGAAGCCTTGGATAAGGACTTGCACAGTCTGATGCTGGGGTGCCTTGAAAAAGGCAAGGGCTCTGGCAAGAGCCTTGAAAAAAGGTAAGGGCAAGAGGCATGGCAAAGACCCCCAGCCTGTGGAGGATGAGCCTGAGGAGAAGCCCTTGACCTTGGCTTGAAAAAGGCTAAGAAGACCAGGGACTTGCTCAGCTCTACCCACAGCAATTTTGAGGAGGCCTTGAAAAAGGTTGAAAAAAGTCCCTATCTGAGCAAGCAGGCCTTGAAGGACAAGCAGGAAATGCTCACCAACCTCACTGAAGCCTTGAAAACGACCAAGCAACTCCTTGAAAAAGGAGACAAGAACAAACTTGAAAAGGTGAAGAGCCACCTGGTCGAAGCTTGTGCCCCTATGAAGCGCGCAAAGGAAGAGGCAAAAGAGCTTGTTCAGATTGGGATGAAGGCCTTGAGCAAGGCAGCCTCCTCCAAACCCAGATGATTACCTTGAGAAAGGTACAGTTTTGATGTGTACAAAGCTATAGCCCCTTGAAGCTATGTAAAGAAGCGCTTGGAGAAAAAGAGTTCCGTGCAGCATGTTGGTGTTGGGGTTGGGGTTGAACACTGCGTTGAACCACTTCAGTAAAGCAACTGCCGCTTCATTTTGGCCCGCAAGCTTCAGTATAGTTAGTGATAGCTAGGCATTCTTCTGCAATTGCCTTGAAAAAGGCCTGGGGGCTTGAAGAAGCCCAAGAAAGAGATACACTTTTAACCTTGGGAGCTTGAAAAGTTCCAAGCCTCTTGGCCCATGGCCAAGAGGCTGAGAGGTTGGCAGCTTGAAAAAGAAATGCAAAACCCAACCAAGACACCAAAAAGGGGCAGCAAGAGTGCTTTGGCTACAGCTCTTTTGCGCCTATGGGCTCATGGAAAAGCTAGTGGTATCGCCATCAGATGGCTGGCAGAAAGCGCCATGCTAGATGGGGCAGAGCATGAAGAGCTGTTCACCATTGCCAAGTGTGGGAGCCATGGAAAGCATCCTGGCAACATCCACAGGGACCTCATGGCCAGCTTCTGCAAAGAGCTGAGCGTGCCTGACCCCTGCGATGTTCAGGCCCCATGCAAAAATGCAAAATCCTTGAAAAAGGATGTGGAATTTGCTGCATGCTTCCTCCCTCACCAGATGTTTTCCAAGCTTGCCTTCAGCTATGAGGATGTGTTCCAAGCATTTTCCCACTTGAAAAATTGGAAGACTTCTGGAACCAAGCCCTTGAAAAAGGAAATGACCGGTTGAAAAACCACCCCATGCAGCAAAGAGGATGGAAGAAGCAAACCATCCCTTTGTTTATGCATGGGGATGGGGTTGAATATCAAAACAGAGACAGCCTCATGGTCTACAGCTGGGGCAGCTTATTGCAGCAAATGTCCAGCCTATCCTCACACTTCTATATAGCAGGCTTCCCCAAAAGCTGGACTTTGGATGGAACCTGGGAGGAAATGATGGTGTGGATTTGCTGGTCCTTTGCTGCATTGCAGCGTGGCTACCACCCAACTCATGACCCAGAGGGGAAGCCCTTGAAAAAGGATTCTCCCTTTTTCCTTGAAAAAGGAAAGCCATTGGCCCATCGACTCTGTGGAGTCTTGGTGGTCCAAGGAGACCATGAATTTTTCAATAATTCACTAAAGTTGCCCCATTGGGCTTCCAAAAGCCCTTGCCGGGAATGCTCAGCCAAGAAAGATGCAAAACCAGCCAATATGTGCTACAAGACCCTTGAAAAAGGGAAGCAAGCCTGGAAGAGAATCTCCAATGAGGAGGCTTTGGCAAATCCTAAGAGCGCCCATAAGCTATTCTCAGGCTTGAGCACTAAAATGGTTCGAGGAGACTGCTTTGCACATCCTCTTTACCAAGGGGGTGCTTGGGCACCTTCTTGGTAGTTGCATCCATTTTTTATATTATGATGCAATTGGAAAAACCCAGAAGGTGTCTCCAGAACAAAGATTGGGTTCAATCTTTGAAGCTGTGCAGAAAGAACATGTTGCACAGGAGACACCTACCAGGGTCACCAACCTGCGCTTGAGCATGCTGCGCAATCCAAAGGAGCCCCACAAAAGCATGGCTCAATTGGATCTCAAGGCCTCAGAGACCAAATGGTTTCTGCAGGCTTTTGCACCTGTCCTCCAGAATCTTGTGTCTCTTGAAAAAGAGCGTGAAGCAACTATGTTGCAAGCAGTGGAAGACATGGCAACGCTCACTGACCTGTTTGATCAAGGAGATGTCTTCTTGACTAATGGGGAGTGGCTCAAAGCCATGAAGCTGGGAGAGAGCTTCTTGAAAAAGTGTAGCTCTCTCTCTGCTGCTTGGGCCCTTGAAAAAGGGAGATCCCTCTTCCACATTGTGATGAAACATCATACTTTTCAACATTTAGTTGAGAATGCACAATTCTTAAAGCCAAAGACACACTGGACTTTCTCCTCAGAAGACTTTGTTGGGAAGATGAGCGTTCTCACGTCTTCTGTAAGTCCAGGGGTGTCTTCAACAAGGGTGAGTGCAAAGGTTGCTTTCCTTCTGACCAGGGAAGGAATGGAGCAAGCAGGGAGAAACATTGAACCTTGAAAAAGGGCAACTCCCCTTGCAAGCTCCTTGAAAAAGGAACTGCATGGCTAGACCTTGAAAAAGGTCAGTGGACTTGCACTCCCCTTGCAAGCTCCTTGAAAAAGGAATTGCACGCCTAGACCTTGGAAAAGGTCAGTGGACTTGCAAAAGGCCTGTCCAGACTAGCTTGTCTGAAAGGAAAAAGGCGCCTGCTAGCCTTCAGGGTATATTGATTTTATTGATTTCCCTTTTGCTTTATTTTTTGATTTTGCATATTGCTTTTGATGGTGGGAAAAGGCTTCCAAAAATATTGCTATGGAAATCAAAATGAATTCAAAAATATCGATTTTTCTTGTAAATCAATCAGCATTAAAGTTTATTGATTAGGATCCAGATTCGATGCTCAGGGAAGGTCAGGGTCGCGCCGTCCGGCAATGCAGAGTTTTGCCATTGGCTTGCGTGGGATGGTCTTGTCGACTTTCCGCTTGGCATGATTCTTGCCTTTGTACGCAAAGCGAGCGCGCAAGATCGTGCTAGGTGCGCGAAGGGCCTCCTCGCTCTTCTCCACTGAGAGCAGGGTCCACGTGCTCCTTCTATTTTCTTCAGCCTGACAATAAAGGGCATGCTCGTCAGGGGGAACCATTCCCCATGGAAGTTCCTTCTCGAGCCTTTGGCCTTGGCTGAGAGGCATCGTTTGACCATGAAGACGTTCTGGTGAAAACCGGCTGTCCGGGGGCACATTTGATGTAGAGGAACGTCATCCAATAGGTGAGCCCGCCGTGCTGAAGTGCGAATCATCTGCGCGGCTGCAAGCTACTGCGAGGTCTCCTCACAACTCCATCACGATGTCATCTTGAAGCCCATACTACTACCATCAGGGGCCTCGTCCGTTCTTGGGTCTCCTTCATGGCCATCTTGAGCCGAAGCGTTTCACTCGCCTTGTCGTGACAAGCCTCAACCAATAGGCAACGAACTCCCCTTGCCAACCAGTAGTTAGTTCTGGCCCTCTCGGCCAATGAGCACAGCGGGCCCTGACCAGGAAGCCGTAATTTTCTTGCTCTTGCCCACGGGGGCGGTGATTGACAGTTCGCTGGAGGGCTTCTTTTGTCTGGCATCTGAAGAAAGCGGCACGGGCCCTATTGCGAATCACTTGAGAGCGGCTGAACTTAGGCGCCTGCAGAAGCTGCATGGTTGGCTGCAAGCTCATGGTCAGCATCGAACAAATCTCCAACATTGCGGGCCCGGGCCCCGAACACCCACTTTTAGCGCAAAGAGTTTTTGGAGTCGTTATAACAGCCGCTACAGCCTCGGAAAGCTCGGCCTCGGTGATCAGGCGGTCTTCAGCTAACTTGGCATAGATCAATGCCCAAGAGCCACCGCGTCTTTCAGCTATGCCATTTGCCAGTGCGCTTGGCCTGAGGCGCAACGCACCATGATGGAGCATGGTCCTGGTCAAGAAGCGGTCCTTGAAGGCCGAGTCGAAGTCAGTCAGCAGGCGCTTGGGGGCTCCAGCCCACTGGATCCATCGATCTACAAATGCCCGAGCTACCTCTTCGGACTTGGTGATTCAAGGGTACCACAATCTGGTACGTGGAGGCCAAGTCAACGATGTTCAAACATGGCTTGTTCTTGGCATCAACTGTGTCGATCCAGAGGATGTCTGCAGCAATGGCTTCGTTGAAGTTGAGGTAGATTACTGGTGAACTCACCTTCTGGATCTTGGCCTTGCTGCTTTTCTCACATGTCCCACACTTCAGCTGCTCTGCAGCTTGGATGACAGCGCTCCTTCGATGCGAAGGTGTCTCCTTGCTGGGAGGATGGCCGAGGTTCTGGTGCACTCCTTAGGGACGCCATCAGGGAAATCATCAACTACCAAAGCAGGGTGGCAATGCATCTAAGCCTAAAGCTTGAAGCGACACCTGCTGGGCAGCGACATCAAAGGTATAGTGCCAAGCTCTGCTAAAGCGGGGCGACTCAAAAGCAATAATGGCACTGCACTGAACAATGGCCACTTTCCCGGCAATCCATTTACCGGCAAGGAAAAAGATGCATGTATGACTAAACTTATTAAAGCGGTCGACCTCATCGCAGATCTCAAAGCCACGAGCGTCAGCCTCAGGGCACAGAACTTCTCAAACCAGTCATAGCCTGCGTCCGGAATCGTATTGTGGCACGCTTGGGCATGTTGCGAGGCTGCAGGAGATCCTTCGTGTAGGAGACATTCAGGGCCCTTATGCCAGCGCCCCCTGTATAAACGTCTTCTGGATCAGTGCCACATGCAAAAGCCACGTCCTCCTCCGCGATCATGGAGGAGTCGCAGGTACATGGCACCCCTCTTCCTCATCAGAGAGGGCTTCGGCCTGTGTGATGGGCAGTCTTGCCGCCCGGTGAGGTGTTGGGCTTCCAAAACTCTCCACCTGGACCTCCACGTCGGAAAGTGCGATCTTGAACCAAAGCGGCGCGCTGCAGCCAAGCCTTCACCAATGGAGGGAGCTCACACTTTATCTCATGCAGCCGGAGGACCATCCGCTCAAACTCGAGGTTGAAGTCCCTGACACACTGGTCGCGTCGCCTCTTGGTCTTCCTGAACAGGTCGTTCATCAGAATCTGGGCAATCTTGGAAACCTCCACCTCCATGAACTGAGTTTGGATCCATTCCAAAGGGACTCCATACTCAGATCCCAACATGTCTCCTTGGCGTAGACCCAGGCCCTGTCCGACAAAGCATCGTGCAAAGCCAGGGCACGATGTCGAGGAGCCATGCGAGCGCAACGAAGCCAGACCTGGACTTCCGAACACCGTCAAACGTAAGCACTTTGAGCCGTTCTCCATTTGACCTCCATAGCTTTCGTACAACCATTGGTCATCACGCCACTGTTCGCCAGCATCCCACGCCGGATCATAGTCCCCGGTCACCGGCAGGTCAGGCTCCTGGTTTGGAAGCTCACGCCAAGCAGCCCAAGCCTCTTTTTGTCCGAGAGGTCGAGGATCGTCAGCGCTAGCCACAGCGCGAGCCTGCCACATCCGCGTCACCAATGTCAAAGTAACCCGTGGAACATGTCGGGGCAAGCATGCGCAGCACGCAACTTTTCTCCACAAAAAGCTAACTCGTGAGCCTGGAAAACGCGAACAAACACGGCGCGAAAGAAGCGCTGGACCATGTAATGCGATCCGACGTGTCGTACACTCGCAATGGTATACGCGGACAATTCGCGTTTAAGTAGATTAAGCGAACCAACTTTGCTGCGTTGGGTGCGCTGAAGTTGCTAACGGTTGGGAACTTAAATGACGGGCGACTGATTCTCCAACGGCCCTCCTATAAGAAAATAGTCAGCCCCGTCGTCCGGGCCGCGGACCTTCTGCGCGGCCAGGTCATAACGCCAATATCGGCCGGGCTCTCCAAACTTGAGAAACTCTTCAGGACAAGAGACATGACTGACATTTCACAAAGACATTCGAACCATCCGTGGCATGCTTTTGCGCACTGTCAGTCACCTGGCCCTGCATGTGGCCGTCGGTGACGCGAATGAACCTTGTTTTGCACATGTGAGCTGAGCGCACAGTCATCTACTAACGTCCTGCATCTTGTCCTCATGGTTGCTCTTTCCTCTTTCCCACCAGCGTCCTATGCCAAGCCCCTTCCTCTTGCAAGAAAAGCCATCTTTCCTCAAACCTCTTCTTGATCTTTTCGACATCAGCCCCGCTACCTTTGATATCGGGATAGCCCTCGTCACCACCGCCAGCTCCGAGACCAAAAGTCCTCCTCACCGCCGCCAACGCCCTCGTTGGATTCGAGGATGTCCGCCATGTGACTCATATATATGCACCCTGTGGTGGCCCTCCAACGCTGTCTTTCTTTCCACATTGGCTTGTCCCTCACACCGGAATTTCTCAATCAAGCGGAATCAAGCGATCTTGTAACAAGGCTGCCCGTTGAAACTTCCTCGCGTCGAACTGGTTGTTCACGCTGGGCAGCAGGGCGAGCTCGTCGCGCTCCTTGATGAGTGGTGAATCATGTTTGACACCTCCCTGATCTCAAAGTGCGAAACTCTGTGTTCTGAAGCAAGTAAGCCCACATCGAGCTCTTCTGCGATGCCTGGACTGTGAGCTTGTTGTTTGGAGCCAGGTTGCAATTTTCGCGCAACGAAGGTAAAGTTGGGACGTAGCTTCTCGGTCGCCTTTCCTCTCTCATGCTGTGGTCCTGGCCCCTGGCCACTCCAAATTTTTAGGCTTGGCTTTTCCGCTACCGTCTGGGTGAGAGCCTATGCTTGCGCGGCGTTGAATCCTTTCATTTAGCGTCGGTCGTCCGGCCATTAGCGGGGGTTCCGTGACCCCGCCACGCCCACCATGCAGCCAAGGGTCCCCTTTCCCAAGGATGTGACTGTGACATTTGCACCTGGAATCCCACGAAAGCAGCATCAACTCTGGGCCGCCACGTCGACATTAAATTCTCACTGGCGCCAAATCGCAACCTAGAACAGCTCTGCGTCATCAATGTTGGAAACGATCAAGGGACACCACATGGCATGATTGAAACGGCGCGGCTCTTTACAACTCGCTCGAACTCTTGCGCCTGTAATGTTCATGTGGCATGGATGACAAGAAACAAACTAGCAATCGACGTATCGATTTGACACAAAGGACAAGCTTGAAACCTGATCGAAGAAGATTGATGAAATGAACCCGAAATTGCGTTTGTCCAATGCGCTCATGCGCGGCAATCATGCAGGTTTCCATTGCGGCGCACCTGTGAGAGCTCTGGATTCGCTGCCTTACTTGGTTAAATCGGCAGCCCCTGGATGAAAATGATTAACAGCATGTTTCAATCCCCTCTTCCAGAAGTCAGTGGCCTGAGCTTGGACTGGGAGCGCCACTTTAAGCTGGTCCAGCTCGGACTTGGTGATCACGCCATCCCCATCTGCATCCATAACTTTCATGAGTTCCTTGACTCTGGTGACTCGCAATTTTATTACAGTGGGTGGGAGCTCGACCAATCAACTGCACTCAACCATCTCATACAATGCCCTAATGCAAACGACCGCTCCTTTCGCCGCTGCTCACGGGCTTTGCGGCGCTGCTGCAATGCGGAGCGGCTTTCACCAGACTGTCACAAGCCCAACCAAAACCAGGTAGCCCTCCGGAGGCTACCGTTTGTCCGTTTGTAGAAGCACCAAAGCTTCAAAGCTTGGACTCTAGAAGTCTAGAAGGGGCTGATTCATGCCGGAACTCTTGACGGTATTTCACCGGTTCAACTATTATACATATATAAAAATATTTTTCAGTAGACGCGATTCAATTGATGCAGGAAGAAGGGTTGCGTTGAAACACTGACCAAATGTGGGCCAGCGATCAAGTCATTTGCACTTTGTCCTGCCTACTTTGTCGCTACAATTTCTTTTGGGCTTTAGAAAAATGTTGCGCAAATTGATGCAAATTGCGTATCAACTAGATTCGGTTCAACGCACATAAGAAGTCAGTGATTACTCTGCCAGCTCCAGCATCTCAAAAGGAACACCAAGTCTCACCCACGCCGTCTTCACCTGCGCAGAGGCCACTGACGCAGCCGAGGCCATGGCCTTCACCGCAGAGACACGCTCCCTGGCCTCCAAACCATGTTCACAATGCATAACCAAACAAGGAAACCTTGGGCAATTGTCAACGCGAGGCAGAAATAGCTGTCTTTACACTTTAATCTCAACATAGGATTCATGACCCACCCTAACAATCAAGCCCAGCTCGAGCCCCCAATACTGAACAAATTTAAAACTTCCACCTAGGCATCCCCTCATAGCTTTTCCCTGTTCAGAACCCACCAGATTAATGAAGCTCGGCTGCCCCAGAGAATGATTATACACTATTTTTTGTATTTTACTACCAACTCTTACGCGCCTTTTCTTGATTCACAAAAGGGCTGCGCAGTGGTCTTGCGATGCTAAACGCGCAATGTACAACGGTCATGATTCACATGGAAAATGGTTCGCACTCCTTCTTGGCACTGCGAAACTCTAGAGCTCACTTTGCCACCGTAATCAAATTTCTTCCATTCAATTCTTGTTTCTCTGCAGGCTTAGTCATCTCTCTCAGGAACTGGGTTCCCAGAAATTGGCGTTATATCTGTTTGCGGTTTATCTGGATAATTTCTCCTCATGGTTGCACATTCCAACAAGTCTTGATATTTCTCCATCTCCTTCTCTGCCATGTCTGCTGCCTCCTCCAATCCTCTACTCATGAAATTCCAATGTCTTTCATTGAGTTGCTAAAGTTTTGCTCCAAGTCGGCCACTTGCCCTGCAATGTATTGTTCTCTCGTTGATATCTCCCTGTTTCCTATTTTGAATATTCTGTTCAACGGTCCTTCTGATGGCGCTGCTCCATCTGTAGCTGCCCGCAACATTACTCTATGTCCCCAATATTGCCCTCCTGTTGCTTGCGTATCTTCCAAGCTCCTTCTGGCTGAGAAGTTTCCTGCGTTCATCTCTCCTAGTGCATCGTAGCTGATGACCGTTTGAAGGTCTGGTACTTCATGTTCAACAAAGCCTCCATTGAGAACCAATCCACAATGAATTCTCCTAGCGTCGTTGCGCAGAACATTGATTCTCTCTTCAAGTTCTTCTTCTCTCCAAATTCCAACTCTTTCTTCCACTATCTCAATTTGCTCACAAGTTGGCGTGCACTTGATGAATCTGTGTCGATGTATGGCCCACATTTGTCCCAAGAGCAAATTCAATAACTGCGCCAGAAAGATTCCATCTGATGCTGAGGAAACTATTGCGTGGAGTTCTGCTTCACACGAAGCTGCGCTGATGATATTCTGTGTCCTGCTGCTGTTGATTTTCAAAACGTTTGACAATTTTCCAATTCAAAGCGTTTGGCAATTTTATAGACGACAAGGATCGATACCGCAAAGAAATTGATTTTCATTGCAATCACCACTACTATCCAAAATTTTCCAGTTGCCATTGGATTCCTTCATCTCCTCCAGTCTCATGTCTACCAGCCCACACTGGATGTTGTCTCCTTCTTCAAGAATGCTTCTGCAACCATTGGCTGCAAGCCCTTCAATGCTACCATTCTGAAAGGCATGTTGCTATCTTGTTGACCTTTCCTGCAAAATTCTTCTTTTCTTCAAACTCGTTTCTCTCATATTCTCCTACTTGCTTCACATGAAGATAGGCTAATGACCTTCTGTGCTCTACAGCTGTTGAACAATGGGCAACTGTTCAATGCGTGAAATCCTCCTGACGTTGGCTTTCTGTGGCTTTTGTTTCCGCACCAGTCTGAATCTGAAAATGTTTCCAAGCACCAATAGCTTTCTCCTTTCTATAACCCTCTCCTGCTTGTGGAAACTCAAAGCGCTAGCACGCAGAAGTGCTAGACAAAAGCCCATAGTCTTCTTCAAGTACCCTAAAATCTTCTTCAAGTGATGAAATGAAGCTGTAGGCATTGACATTCTTGAAGCCAGTTCCTTCACAGTGAATGCTACATCGTACCTCTCTTGACATAGGTAGATACTTGATTCAACAATGCTTCTGAAACGGCTAATCTTCTCTCGCCCTTGGAAGACTTCCGACTTGTCTTCCACCTGGATTGAGTTGTCTGATGGTAGCTGCTGAAGTTTGATCTTGCCAATCTGCTCTTCATAGGCTTTCAGCATCTGCTGGATGTAGTTACCTGGTTGGATCCATAGTCCGTTTTTCTCAAGATTGTACTTTCTCCGCAGAAAGTTGAACTCATCACCAATCTTCTCAATCTTGCTCACACTGGTGTTCAAATTTGCCTTGAATCTTTGGTAGAAAGATTTCGTTGATGTACTTTGAGTCTCCTGTTGTCGGTTCATGTTCGTAAATGTTTCTTGGAAATGCTGAAGCCATCCACATAGATCAAAATGAGACTCTTCTCTTCTCATATCTTCCTAGGCGTGGACACTCGGCACTGAACTTATACTAACCTGAGTTCCTCTGTGAGGTACTCTGTGAAAAAGTCAAACCATGCTTTTGCTCCAACTCTCTGTCCGAGTGCAGGTAGACTTCTCTTCGCCAAGAATTCTTCTCCCTCAAGACATCCGAAACTCCTTCTTCTTCTCTTGCTTCTTCTTCTTCACTGAATCTTTGCAGTACATGTCCTAAAGTCGCTGGTGAGAAAATGTCATCTCTCTTTCCTTCAGAGAAAGCAATTCTCTTGCAACTAGTCTTGATCTTCTCTTCCACCTCTTGACTGAAGCGCCATCTCCAAGCTGATATGGTTTCTTCCTCCAGTCATACACATTGCCTGGTTTCTCTAGCACTTGCATCTTCTGGAGTCTTTTCTCTTCCACTTGATCAGCTAGTCTATTTATCCATTCTTCTGGATCTCCTTCAGGTTCATGTTCTCCATAGCGCCGCAAGCGTTCATCATCCCACTCTTCTTCGCCAACTTCTTTTGGAACTGGGGGCAGTTCTTCATCTACACGGTATAGATCTTCCCCTCCAACTTTCACCACGGTGATCTTGGCCTTCTTGCGGGCCTGATGGCCTGAGTTTCTTCATTGGGCTTTCCTCCTCAAGCAATTCAAATGCTTCTCTGGGTCTGGATGGCGCCGATGGTGATCTCAATGAAGATAGTATAGGAGCAATTGGATTTGGTTGTCCTGCTGTCAATGATGTAGAGGGAAATGCCTTCACTTCTTCAAGTGTCTTCTCATCTGTAATGAGAACTTTCTGCTTCTTACTTGGTGTTTCTTCTCCACTTGGTTTCCTTTCACCTCCAACTCTTTTCATTGCGTCAATAGGGGTTTCCAGCGCGGCTGGAGCCTCCATTGGCTGTGGGAACAATGGTTCTTCTTTCTCTGAGTCACTTCCTCCTTCAAGTGCTTTTGCCAAGACTGCTTCTGCATCTTCATCCTTGAACTTCAACATTGCATGTTCTCGAGGAATGTCTGTCTGCGCAGCTGGCAATGCTTCTGCTCTTCTCTTGGTGGCAAAGATTCTGCCTCCAAATTTGGTTTGGTACTCCCACGAAGCAAAGGCACTGAAGCTTTTGTGTATGGGTAAGTATTTGGACCAATCTTGATCTGTTCTTCTGATGCACTTGCTGAGCACTACCTGCACTCCATCTGTATGCGCATAGGTGTCTTGCCTCCCAACTTTTCCTAAGAATAAGCATCTTGCTTTGCTCCCAAGTCCCAAGTGCATGATCTGATCCAATCTTGATACCAAGTCTTGACTGCACACCTTCAATGAAAGTTCCTGCAAGCTTTCTCACCCTATCAACTGTGTTCTCTGACAGACATGAATGATCTCCAAGCTTTGAGTTAACCAATCTGGTAGTGAGTCCTAGACTGTGGCGAGCACAGCGTCTTGAGGATTTGCCTTGTTGTGGGTTCATTGTCACTCCTGTAGGCGATTGCTGAATACACCAACAATTGACTTAAATTCATCAACTCTTGCGCGATAAGACGAAACTGGCCCTTGCTTCCTAGTGGCGCAACATGAACGAATCAAGCCTGGCTGTCAACTGCAACTAGCCAACATACTGCAATTGCTGACTTTGTCCCTGAACCCCTCGCTATTGCGTAGCAAAAATCACAGCTCACCTCAGGAATACTTCCTCTCTTTACTCCATCTGTTCTCTCACGGCGATCTGCTCAAAACACTCCTGACACCAAGTGACACATGGCACGTGCGTCAACCTCTCTCTTGCTTGAGTTGCTTCATCTGGCATCTTTGCAACACTTTGTCCTGATGCCACTCTTGTTTCCTGAGCTTTTGCTCCACTCACCAAGCTTTTGGCGTTCAACAATTCCATCTTCTTGTTGCGACTGAGGATCTTTGTGTAGACCTTCACCTTAGAGCCACTGCCTGAAATGCCGAGAAATGAACACGCTGCCCTCAGAGTTGCCAAAGAATCCTTAGTCAACTCTATTCCATTAACCAAGACTTTGACTACATCCATTGGGCTCAATTGTAGTTCACATTCAAGGTCAGTATCTTTCTTTTCGTCTTCTTTCTGGCCTCTCTTCCATTGCCTGCTGCTCTTCTTTCTTTCTCTGTTCTGTTTCTCAAGCTTCTTGAATCCTGGCGCAAAGAATCCCAAATCCTCTGGTGGCGCTGGCTCATAGCTGAAGATTGTGATTGAAGGAATGACTGCATCATCATCATCATCATCAAAGAATTGCTCATCAAGTTCCTCCTTCTTAGTCATGCTTTCACACTACTCAGGCGTTAGCCGTCTACCTCCTCTTTTCACCAAACTCTTCCACTTCTTGAATGACTGTGGGATCCACAAACCTTGAAATCAATAAGCTTCCAACTAGCAGTCCACGCTCATTGAATCTCCAACCTGATTCTTTCTCTGAAGCTTCAGGTACTTGCGCCTCCAAGCAGCTCTCATCTTCATCTCGAATGACGCTAATGCGGCCTTGAACTGTCAAAGAGCCATTTTGTACCATTCTCCAACATTTGCTCCCTGCTATTGATTCCCCAACCAAGTCTGGGTTGACTCACCTTTGGACTGAAGATCGCATTCTCTTTGAGAAGAACTTCTCGTCCACCAAGGTCATGCAAGGAAATTACAACGCTTTTCGCACCTCCTGTGGGGATACGATTTCCTTGTGCATCTTGAAGCTTGGTCTTTGCGCTGAATTGCAACTCTCCTTCCCCATGATCTGCCACACTCAAAGGGAACAACGCTACATCAGCTCCACTGTCAATAATGATAGCCACATCCTCATTCTCTTCCCAAGTCTCCCCACCATGGGTTCATCATCTGAGATCGAGATTGGCCTCTCCTCAACTTCCTGGAACTCTGGCTCATCATCATCATCATCATCTCCAATGTAGTAGCGAATCACTCGATGTCCCTGATCTTCTAGCTCATCATCCTTCTCGCAATTCTTCTGAGCACTGGTTTGGTCTCTGCTGGGCTACCTTGTTGGCTCACATTGGCACGTTGTTGCCCAACTGAATGGATAGTCATTGATGCTCCTGAAGATGAGTGGGCTGGATCATTTGCTACCTATCGAAAATCGTTCCTCCAACAGTCTTTAGCAAGATGTCCTGGCTTTCCACAAGTGTAACATGTTGCCACACCTTTGCTTTTTTGGTCTTTGCCTTTACCTTTACCCTGTGACCACATTCCTGTCCTTTCTGATCTCCTTCCCCTTTCTTTCCTTTGCCCCTAGAACCTTTATCTTTGCCTTTCTGATGGTCATTCTTGCCCTTCTGACCCTTTGGCATCTTGGACTCCATCAACGTCCATTGCTTGATAGTCTGCACTGCTACTAGCCACCATGGAAGTAGCCCACTTCTGCTGAGAGCGATCCCATCGCAACACTTGCCCTCAAAGTTGAGTATTGAACATTGTCGCCAATTGCCTTCCAAGTCCAAGTACGATTTGAGCTGTCCACCGACACATCTCTAAAGAATAGCAGATTTCAACTCTTCCTGAGTTATAGTCCCTGCTTGACTGTCTCATCAAACACTTCTTCAAGCTTCAAGAGTTGAGGTTGTAGCGCACTGTTCATTGAAAATGCTGGCCATGTAGTGGCTGCTTTGAAGAGTGCCAAGCCTCTTGGCTTTGAAGTTGGTTTCAAACCTTTGTTCAAACTCCTCCATGGAGGCATCAAACCCATTGGAGCTTTCACCAACAAATTGCAGTGCCCTTCTTCCCATCAATCAACCTAACAATCCAAAAAGCTTGATCCACCTGGTCTTTTCCTTTGAAATTGCCAAGTCCCAATCAAAGTTCTCATTTGGCGTTTCATGAATTTCTTTCACGTCCTTCATGTAGCCCTCACCAACTGCACTCAAGAACTTCTCAAAGACCCATGACCACTCTCTGAACGCCTTAATCTCTTCTGCCTGTGACTTCCAGTCGTCAAAGATGTTGGGCCTTGCAACAACTTTGACCAATCTGTCGCTGACTGCTTTCTTCACGATAAAAAGCTTGAAGGATTTCTCTGATCTCCTCCATCTCTTCTTGGTACTGATGTCTCTTGGACACAATGTACTGGGTACAGAATGTTGCTCACAACAATCATTCACCAGTCCAGCTGTTTGGGTTCCAAAGGCCCCAAATCTATGGATCGAAATCGCACCCGAAACTGGAGCTCAAAGGGGGATACTACTCTTATCTCCTTGCTCCGCTACCATACGCACCTTTTCTTGGTTCACAAAAGGGTGGCGCGCAGTTTTCTTGTGATGCGAAGCATGCAATGTACAATGGTTATGATTCACGTGGAAAATGGTTCGCAATGTTCTTTTCGGTCTGTATCCTGTTGTTCACGCATCCATCATTCTCATCCGCCTTCTGCTTCTCACCCTGCTTATTCTTCTCATCCTTCCCTGTTTAAACACAAATCACCCCGGCAAGAGACCCCAAACTGTAGCAGCAGAATGTCTAGAGATCTAGACGCATTGAAGTCCAGAGAGGTGATGGTGGTGATGAAGGCGGGGATCGTGGTCATGGTGGCCGCGCTATTGAGCGAGCGAGTGCGACTGTGACTGTGAGTGTGGTTGTGAGTGAGAGTGAGAGTGGGAGTGGGATGAGAGGAATGAGAGCGAGAGAAAAGGAGAGTGAGTGCGAGAGAGTGAGAGAGTCGATTCCCCGCCTCCTCCCCTTCCACAGCCACGCCGCGCTCCTTGTGGTGTCCCTGGATGCAACACCCAGCACCTACCTCTCTCTCTCTCTCTTTCTTCTTATCTTGTCGGGTGTGTCCTTGGACGCTTGAGTCGTAGCTGGGAACACCATCGTCTCGTTCCTTTTCTTGTCTGGTGTGCTTGGAAGCTTGAGTCGTAGCTGGGAACACCATCGTCCCAGAAAAAAGAGAGAGAGAGTGGAGTGCGTGGAGCACGTGGGGTGAGTGGGGTGGCTGAGTGGTGTGAGCGGCGTGAGTGGAGTGAGTGGAGTGGTGGAGTGTCGAGTGAGTGATGGAGTGAGTGATGGAGTGAGTGAGTGAGTGAGTGAGTGAGTGAGTGAGTGAGTGAGTGAGAGTGAGTGAGTGAGTGAGTGAGTGAGTGAGTGTGAGAGTGAGTGAGTGTGAGGCGCGCTGCGCCTGCCACGTAATCTGTCACCAAGCGCTGCACCTGCCATGAAATCTGCACTTCGAGGATCACAAAGTACTGCGCCTGCCACGAAATCTGCACTTGGAGGTTCACAAAGTGCTGTGCCTGCCACGAAATCTGCACTCGCAGGTTCACAAAGTACTGCTTTCGCCACGAAATCTGCACTTCGAGGTTCACAAAGTACTGCCTGCCACGAAAGGTTCACCCAGCGCTGCGCCTGCCGCGAAATCTGCACATCGAGGCTCACCAAGCGCTGCGCCTGCCACGAAATCTGCACATCGAGGCTCACCAAGCGCGGCGCCTGCCATGCCATGAAATCTGCACTTTGAGGTTCACAAAGTACTGCGCCTGCCGCTGCACTTTGAGGTTCACAAAATGCTGCGCCTGCCACAAAACCTGCAAACGAGCCACATGTCCAAAACTCACGCATCACTGCACCTGTCACGAAATCAGAGCCTGTCGAAGATCACCACCATGTCCAATGTGCTGCGCCTGCCGGAATCTGCAGTTAAGTACAACCGCTCTGATCCCTTGCACCTGTCACGAAAGGTTAACTTTGCACCACCAAAACACGAGGTTTCCCTTGCGTCCGCCACGAAAAGTGACCATCATGTCCCAAAATGCACACGGCACCACGACGAGAGCGCAGTCGCGACAAGCGCCCGCTCCAGCCAACCAGATTTTGGACCCCCAAAATCTTAAGGCTACCCCTCACACAAGCCCTACCTCCCTCTAATAGTAGGGCCCCTCCCCCTATTAATCACGCCCACCCTCTGGCCTCCATCTTGTCTTCAATCTCTTTCATCCTGCAATTTTCCTAATCGTCCCAATCCAATCTCCTAATCTTGTCATCATTTCATCATCCATCATCAGGTCATCACCTTTTTAGGGGGATGTGGGTCCTCCAATACCTCCAATCTCAGACCTTGTTAGCCTTGTTGACCTTGAAATGTGCGGGGTTGATTAATCTGACGTCGACATTACTCAATTTGCTCTTTGTACAGGAGCCTCAAGAATCCCAACCACCCAAGGCCCCTCAAAAGAGGTCAAAGGCGTCACATCTGTTTGGTTTGATTTGATCTGCTCTGAACTTGACAGCTGAGTCTATGTTCTGTTTCATTCTCCGATGCGGGCAAACAACTCTCAATCACCACGGAGGTCAAGCCGACCAACTTGTACATGTCATTTCCAAGCTATTGCCGTAAGGATCTCCTTTGATGAAGAAACTAGGATAGGCTTCATGACTGTATGATGTCTGAAACAAATCAGTTCGTTGGGACTCATCGGCCCTGAACGTCAAAAAGCTTGCACTCTCTCCCGCGAAGCACCTCTGCCTCTCTGGGGGTTGTGACCGGAGTTGTGGACTGTGGCGTGGGGGTCGCCTGAGATGCACAGGAACCAAGGACCAAGTGGACCATCTTGGATCCCTGAGCAAAAGACGGAAAAGGCGACTGAGTCAGCTCTATCTTCCGGGCTCTCCGTGTTCTGCTTTGGCTCTGCCCTCATTCCCGCTAAGTTGATTGTTGGCACTGAGGCCGCTCCGGGCCTTCCAGCAGTAGCAGTGTTAGGGCAGCAAGCAGCAAGTGGATCCCTAAAGACTGCAAACGGCAAGGATGCGGCTCATCGTCATGTTCAGCTGAAAACTTGGAGCCAGCACTACAGCCCCACTGGCCACTTGAGAGATTGGATGCAAAAAAGGTTCAAATAACGATCCGATTGAGACTGTCAGCGCACCTGCTGGCCTGGAAGCGTTCTATCGGACCCGGAGCCTGAAATGTGTCTGCCAAAATGTGAACGAAGAAGAAAAACACGAAATGATTAATCACATTGGTAATTAAAGAGGCACTGCAGTGTCAACAGGAATCCCCTGCAACAGAAAGGCTCTGTCTTGCGTTCTGTTTTGGAAGCACCATGTTTCAAGCCTGCAGTTCGGGCGGGACTACTCCCGAGTCCTTGGTGTGGACAGGTGTCAGAGACAATCTACCTGCACACATCTCACATCTCACTGAGAAGGACAAGAGATGGTGAAAAAACAAAATCAAAAAGAGCCTAGAGATGTTGAAAAGGAAAGCGAGATGGTGAGTGCCAATGAGCGCAATCAAGTGTCTGCCGCTACCTCGAGGTGCAAGAAACATCTGTGAAAGGTTGATAGTGTGAAATCAATCAAAATACAAATCAAACTACAGTAAATCAATGATGCAGTTGAGTCATGTCCTCACTTTTAAAGCGCAAAGTCAGCCCAGTTTGTCCTGTGAAGTTACTGTAAAGTCTGCAAAATCAACTAAGTACAGAAGTTGTAGCAAAACTACACAAGTCTGCTTGGATCCTGGCCTTTGCGGCTTGTGCTCGCTCTCTTGCTTCATCCACAGCTTTCTGCACACGTGTCTAGAAAACCCGAAATGAAGCAGCCACGACAAACCTTTTCTTGTTGCTACTTGTGCAGCTTGACGGGCTGACCGGCTTAGCAAAACACTGGTGCTGCATAAGGAGCCAGCAACTCTGCTAAAACAGCTCGAAACGCAAGAATCAATGTTGCGAGATGCTTGGTGTCAGGCCATGGCTGCAGCAGCCCTTTCTTTCGCCTTCAAGTGTAGTGCAACAGGAATGATTTGAATTCCGCATACCCTCATGATGAAAAGGTTCACGTTGATCATAGAGTGGACTTGGGAAACTGAAATCAAGAACTGGACTGATTTCGCCTTGCGATTCATCTCGTCCATCAAGCTTTTTGCCTCCGCTGGAAATGTATTATATAGCTTATTATATAGCTTGTCTGCCGTCAAACGAAGAATTCCTCTGAGGCTTTGCCTGCTCGAGATTGTGGTAAGCAGTGCGGATAGCATCGGAATCTCCAGGCAACACCCTGAGCAAAACAGTTTTTGTGCAAGTGCAAAGATTCCGTGAACACTTTGCACGTGATGCACATGGCATGGTATGATGGTTCAGGTTTGCCCGTAGCATCACAAGGTGTAGATCTTATCATGAATTGTTCACTCATGTCAAACGTTTAGAGTTTGCACCCCAACGCATCACAAATTTCTCCTCTTGTGCCCGATGCCGGCGATATGGAGACGCTCATGCCTTGCCAACACGTGGTGTCATTCTGCGTCACAGAATTGGCAGCATGCATTCAGACTTTCTAATGATGATTCTCCCACATTCCTCATCTGTGCTTTTTCAATGTATTAAAACTTCAGAGAGCGCGAGAAAACCTAGTGAATCTGGGCTCTTGACACAGGAGATGTTGATCTCGGGGAGCGTTTCGGAGAGCGCGAGAGCTGGCGCCTCGCTATGGTTTTTGAAACGGAGATCAAAAATCACCAGCTGCGATGTGGGACCTATGGGAGTTGATCCAAGTTCCTGTCATGGCTTTCATCTGGAAGGTGCCGCTTCGAACATTCGCAAACGTTCGCCAGAATGCTGCCGCAAAAACTTGAATACCGTTTTGGTAAATTTCATGGACCTTTATATAGATCATGCCCTCTTGCAACTCTCTCTCTCTCTCTCTCTGTGTCTGTCTGTCTGAGTCTGTCTGCCTGTCTGTCCGTCCGTCTGTCTGTCTGTCCGTCGGTCTGTCGGTCGGTCTGTCTGTGTCTGTGTCTGTGTCTCTCTCTGTGTCTCTGTCTCTGTCTCTGTCTCTCTGTCTCTCTCTCTCTCTCTTGCTCTCTCTCTCTCTCTCTATCTCTCTCCCTCTCTGTCTCTCTCTCTCTCTCTCTCTTGCTCTCTCTCTCTCTCTCTCCACCCAAGCCTCCCTTACTCCTTGTGGCACTTAGGCAAATTGAATGAAAACAAAGAACCAAGGTGAAAGGAACAATTGTCTGAACTGGATTCTGGCAAGCCATACATCGCCCTTTGGCATGTTTGATGCGATTCGAGGCTCTATTTATCCGAGTTGAATGTGAAATAAGCTCTATAATCTAGATATAAATGCGCCATACCAACATCGTGATGATTCCCAAGAGCGAGCGCATCGAGAGGCCGATAGCCCTCACCTCTTGCCTTTATCGCCTGTGGAACAGCTATCGCAAGCATGACCTCCAACGATGGCAACTGGGGCTTGATGAGGACATGCCATGGGATCATGCCCGACCTCACAAAGACTGCCTCTCCATTGCAAAGGCAGGATGCTGAAAGCTGACTTGCAGACTTGACATGCTTCTACGACACAGTGCAACTGGATCATCTCATTGAGCCAGCCATGGAGTTGAACTACCCGCCGCTGCACTTGAAGCTTGCCCTGGACCTTTACACTGGTCCGCGGCTAATCCAGGCGGAAGGCATTGCTGGACATCCCAAGCACTACCAGAAGGGGATCCTTCAGGGCTGTCCTCAGGCACCAGCGATTGCCAAGCTTGTTCTCTACCAGCCGCTTCGGTCTCTGGTCCGTGAGCACCCGGCCGCGCTCTTGCAGACATGGGTGGACGACGTCTCCTTCGACATAAAGGGCACTGACCCCGACTACGTTGCAAGAGAAGCTGTCCTGTCATTTCGAACCTTGCAGAGAAACCTTGAATCTGCTGGTCTCAAGCTCAACACAGACAAGACAGGCTTCATCACGAGCAGCAAGGAATCGGCCAGAGCACTGGGTGCACTCTTGCAGTCTGACGATCACAACATCCTGCGCGAACTAGGCATTGACGCCACGAACTCCCGCAGACGCAGGATCACACAGATCAAAAAGAGATTCCTCAAAGGTCGGGGCCGAGCAGGAATCATGCACCGTCTCAAGCTGGGAGTGGCCACAAAATACAGACTTCATCGAGGAGCAGTCCACCCAGTGATGACCTGGGGTGCCCAGGCAAACGGGTTGGCCCTACAACGATCAGACAGGGTCAGTGGTGCGGTCTGTGATATGCGTCCCACCAAGAGTGACCCTGGAGACTCCATCATCCTCCAGCACATCCACACGGTTTGGAAGGTCCTCCACTCCTTTGATGAGAGTGCCCAAAACCTCTTCTGGGCCAGCTGGAATGCAGCCTTGCATCTCCTCCCCAAGACCAAATACCGGCGGCAGGTAGTGATGTGACAGGCCCTTTGCAGACGCTCCAAGCCTACTTGCTCGACTATGACTTTGACATCTCCAATGGCAAGCTCTGGAAGAGGACAGGCTATGGAGGAATACCAGACTGTGCCATCAGCTTCCAGTCACAACGCGTTTGACCAGGTACCAGGGCTGCCACGACCTGGAAAGGCGGCTGGACTGGACAGTCAGCAACACGCTGCAAAAGATGACAAGCGACAAGATCGCCGCTGGCATACGAGCGCTCCATCAAGGCACCCTACATGGCCAGGAAGGAAATTGCCCCTTGTGTGGAGTCGAGCTGACTTTCACTCACCTTCTTTGGGAGTGCAGCTTTTGGGAAGGACGACCTCTGCGAGCTCTCCCTGATCAGTGGCATGAAAGAATCCAGGCCAATGCCGAACCAGAGTTATGGAACAGAGGCATGACTCAGTCCATCTTCTACATCCAAGACGGCGGAATAAGGGCTTTGGGCTGATCTTCAAGCCTGCAACCTCCCAGCTGGACATGCAGTTTCTTTGGCGGTGGCTCCCACCTCCAAGCACCCCAGACACCGTCGCTTGCTACACATCCGGGACAAAGTCCATGTAGCTGTTTTCCAACAAGCCATCTGGAAGACCTGGTCCTTCATGGCTGCTCATGAGAGGTTTCCTGATCTCAGCCAAGGTCTCGAGCATGAAGAACTTTGACCAAGTGAAGCTATTGCTCTTTCACCGCAAAGAATGAAATGGACTCCAACCTCAACAGGAAAGCTTTTCAGCAGGACACCCAGGCCAAAGCCACACAGATGGCCCTTCTGGCTCGACCCGAAGAAATCCTCGATCTTCAACGGCGCATCGACGAGGACACCCGCGACATTCTCTGTGTTGCCGGGGCTCGCATGGACATTCTTCTCCGAGACAAAAGAGCATTTCCTGCACCAGAAGTCCCCTCAACACATCAACACCAAAGTGCCCATGGTGCAGCAAAAGAAGGACCTTCTGGCCTGCTTCTTGAAAGCGCCCCAACAACATGGCCACCAATGGACCACTCACCGGTCAGGAGTTCAGTGCACTCAGTGCAAGCAGAGGTACCACTCCAAGTCCCTGCTCAAAGAGCCAATGGTCACAAGCCATGCCAGTGAAAGCAGGCAAGAAGACCCGCTTTGAGGTCATCCATGACCTGTTGGAGAGTCAAGGTGACGCTCAACCTGAAACTCACCATCTCCGGCTTGACAAGGCATATCTTCGTTGCACACAATGCAGGGGCTATGGGCTGGAGAAGAGATCTTCACCCGCTTCCTGGGTGAAGTATGTCACAGTGGACCGCTGGCAGCAGACCTTTCGCACGGCCATCCAACTCTGGTCCGTGTCGGCAACTTGGTTGAACGTGGGAGGTGCCATGCCAGGAGCAACCTCAACGGAGGCCAGGTGCAGCTCACGACGAAGCTCCGCAACGCTTGCAAGATCGAGCACTCCCACGACATTAGGAAGATGCTGGCATGAGTCCAGCTGAGCACATTTTGACATTGCTTTTTGGGTACAAGTTTTAGATTATCTTTTGGTTGAAGGGATTGTGGGGGTGCCATATATATATATATATATATTTACACAATAAGAAAGGAAACAGTGGTCAATGAAGGCCTCTTGGGTGGAAACTAGATGATAATAAAAACAAAAGTTGCGCAACATGTTGCGCAACAAACTAAAATCCTAAGATCCTAAGATTTCTGCACTAGTCGTTGCGCAACAAACTAAAACCCTAAAATCCTAAGATTTCAGCACTAGTCCAAACCTTGACTTCATTGTTGTAGTCTGGAGATCTTGGGATTTTAGGATTTTTGTTTGTTGCGCAACGACTAGTGCTGAAATCTTAGGATTCTAGGATTTTAGGATCTTAAGGTAGTTTGTTGCGCAACATGGAAAGCGGTGGCGGCAAATTGAACGAGAAGGGCAAAGGGTTGGTTCATGAGGGTATTGGCGAGGGGAAGGTGGACGGTCTTTGGATGCTGAGGGGGGGTGACTTGGGCTAGCTGCAGAGCGTTGGTGGTAATTTAGGGTTTAGGGTTCGATACGAAGTGGCGCTCTAGTCAACCCTATTATTCTTTTTAACAATCTGGTTTATCTTATCTTTCTTTTTTCTCTACAATGGAGCTCGCCGTAAGCCTGACTTCTTTATGGTAGTATTGTTTTCACAAGGAAAAACTATTTTTCTAATTTTCGCTTTTAATTCAACAATGAAATAAATTTAGATAAACAAATATATGTATCTGGTAATTAATTTTTACATTAATTTAAAAACAAAAACACTATTGTTGTATGAATTTATTTCATTTTTGAATAAGGATTGACAACCAAAGATTTTTTTGATTTTATAAATTTATTAAAATTGAATGTTTATTTAAACATCATAAAACATTAATAATGATTATAAGTTGTTTTTTTTTGGAAGAAAAATGCATCGATATTATTGAACAAATAAAAATAACTACCAATTATGGAAATATTTAAATCTAGAAATACCTAAAAATGATGCCAAAACAATGAATTAAGCAAAAACACAAAATAAAACATAAACTCGAAAAAAAAGAAAACACCATATTATAGTGTTTGTTTTCTATATGTTATTGAAAAACGATATGAAAATTGTAAATATTTATATGTTTATTTAAATTTTGATTGTGATGATTAATTCGAAACTGATTTTTAATTAAAACCAATTTTTAATGGTTTAAAGAAAAAAAATCAATTTTAACTAAAAATATGAAAGAAAACAAACAATATATTTATTTAAAAAAACTATTGGTTGTAATAATTAATTCAATATTTTTTTTTGATTACACATATAATATATATATAAATATAGTTTATGTTCTTTAAATAATGGTAGTAATAAGTAAATTGAAATTCATTTTTGATTAAACCTTATAAACATATTTAGAATAATTATGGTTTTATTTCATTTTTGAATTCTTAAAAAAAAAAAAACATAAATATGTTTTATCGATGTTATGCTATATTTTCTTATATTCATTTCTATAATTTAATTTGTTTGACATTAATTTTAGGTATTTTCAGATTTAAATACTTCCATATTTCCTGAATTTTTATATAGTAAAATAAATTAAGATCATAAAAAATATAGAATTGGATATAACATTTTAATTAAAATATTGTTTAATTAAAATCTATATTGAAATAGTATATACATACTATTATTTGTAATTAAATTTTGCTTCTAAGGATTAAATTGAAATTGACTTGTGATTAATCTTAAAAAAAATAGCTTTATGAATATTATATATATAATTTTTGAAGCTCAGACTATCGTGCAAAAACTCTGGTCCACATCTGGTCAAACACATAAAAGGTAGGTCCCGGGGGGGGGGCTAGCATATATATATATATATATTTGGGGAGCACCAGATCGCGAACCACAATCTTAATCTTATGAATGATCGGTGCATCCGTATTGCTTTCTCTTCTCTGGCTTGAGATCTCAGAGCTTCAAGAATAGATGTGGGGTCGAGCACCAAACCTTTTCAAAAAGCAATTCCAGATTGCGCCGTGTATCTATGGATTGTCGTTGCTACAAAGCTGGGGGGCAGTCTTGGTCTTCAACCGATGATTGTTGACGCAGGAGGGCAAACCAGAAGGGGCTACTGTCTTCATGTCGAAGGGTGAAGAGAGGAAGAGTTTGGATGGAGGCGTCGCTCACCTGTTCATTGCTTTTCCTCTCATTACAATGCACATCTGGGACTGAGTTCTGCTGATGTCAGAATTTGTTCCCCGCGGAGCACAAAATGGAAAAAGGATCTGGTGAACCGTCCTGGCAAAGACTCGGTAGCATTCTTTAGGATTCGCTCATAGCAGCACTCAAGGTCTGTGCAATGCCTGGGGCTGGATGGTGGTGCTGCGTCCAACCGTCCAGGATCTGAAAAGAGGAAGCCCGTCTCCTTTCAGCTGAGACGGATGAGATCTAACAAGTGGACCCAATTTTGAAAAAAACAGCTTCATAGTGACTTAAATAGTGGGAGATTTGAGCTTGTGATAAATCAGCTTTGTTGCTTTGCCTGGCGTTGCCTCTGTGCCTGGCACCTAGAGACGAGAAACTTCACACGAGATCAGCGTGCTTTGCTGCACCTCCTCCCTTAGGGGTGAGCTTTGGCCTGTTCCAGGACATGTTTGTCGGTGAATGTCCAGCTGCTCACGGTAAAATCAACGTACAAAGGAGACACATGGTGACCAGAAAACAAAGATGCTGTGCAGTTTTGCTGACACCACCAAAGTATGTAAAACGCAAAGAACCTGGTATGCTGCGGGGTGAACGAGCAGTTCGATCCTTAAATAAGCTGCATAATCCATCCGGCAAAATATGAGAAAGACATGAAACTGAACAATTGTACTCTCCATCAATCCAGCAACAAAGTGACAAACTCAGATGAGAACTGGCGAGTTGGCAGGAGACCTTCCAAGTAAATAGAATGGAACCAGATATAGGCAGTAACCACATATAAGTCTATTTTGATTGATAAATTGATGACTGCTTTCGGTCCTGTAACCAGCCATCCAGATAGTGGCTAATGTTAAACAGGCCTTCAACTTACCGTATCCATGCAAACAGTTACAACCCCACTACCCCCAAATGGCTTAGGATGATCAAGCTCAGATTCCGCGTCAGTGCACAGAAAAAATATATTCATTAATCATATCATATCGAATTGAAACCTAGCAGACAAACCAACGCCCACTACCGTAGTCCACAATCCAAACCGGAAGAGTAGAGTCTAACGAATGTGGAAACAAACACCCTCTGTAAAGAGGCCAAGCATACCGAGAGGAAGTGAAACATGCCAATGTGTTGAGCCAATCTGAGCGGGGAAGAAAGGAAGGATTAGTTCTTGCAACCTCGCTTTGCTGCAAGCACTCTGCCTACGAGACGAAGCTACCGCCAAAGGGCGAAGGCAAAGAGCGCTAAAGAAAGAAACATAGTGAAAGCAAAATGCTGAACGAACAGAGTGACAAACTGCCATATCTCCTGTCACTTGCACACGGAGCGCCCATAGTCATAGTCCCCAGAGACCCTCACAGCAGTCACTGGAAGACATGTTAAACATACAGTACAGGGCCTTTTGGGCAGGGCCGTCCTTTGCGACGCATTGTGAGATTTTTTGCTGATTTTTCATTCTCACCATGCCTTAGTTAGCAATGTCTCATCGTTACAATATTGGGCAACAGCTAATATCTGTCCTCGCCCAAACAAGCAACAACCCTGTCTCGAACAGCCCGAACAACGAACAACAGCAGCGCCAGTTGCACAAGAAGGTTGGTCCAAAATCCTTGGCCGCTCTACTAGAAACATCTCGAAGCCAGTGCCAGTTCATCTTTAATATCCCCTAATCTTGCCAGAACAAATTCAAGAGGGCCCTGCAACGCTCTGCATGACCTGAGGGAGAGGACGAAAGCCAGCGAGAGACCAATATGGAAGTGCAAGACTGGGAGGACAAAATAGCGGAGCACTTATTGTCGAATGCCTGTAGCTTTCGCGGAGCTTGTCTTGTATCAACGTGGAGTAGATCAAGATCGGAGCACAGCATGAAGTGTTGAATGTTTAGGTTTTCTCGATTTTCCTGGCGCGGTGCTCTCTGGAGCGTCCCGTTTTGGTGGTCTACTTGAGAATCCGTGTAAAAGTAAACGTCAGTGAAGACCAGGAGAAGGATGCCCGAAAGGTGGTTTTTGGTTGTTTTGAAATGTATTTCGGGCATCGTGCATCAATGCGAAGCCCTATAAAGAGCAGGGCTGGGAGAAAAAAAGAGGAGAGCACTCATTCTTGAATGGTTGTAGTTTTCGTGGAGCTGGTATCACTGCGACGTAGATGAAGATCGGAGCACAGCATGAAGTGTTGAATGTTTGTTGTATTCTTGATTTGCTTGGTGCGGCGCCTTCTGGAGCGTCCCTTGTTGGTGTTCTATTTGAGAATCCGTGCGAAAATAAACGTCAGTAAACACCAGGAGAATGATGCCCGAAATGGTTTTTGTGGTTGTGTTGAAATGTGTTTTGGGTATCGTGCATCAATGCGAAGCCCTATAGAGAGCAGGAAAAATAGCAGAGCACCTATAGTTGAAACCTTGTAGTTTCGTGGAGCTGGTATCACTGCGACTGAGATCAAGATCGGAGCACAGCATGAACTGTTGAACGCTTGCAGCTTTCTTGCTTCTCCTCTTGCGGCGCTCTTATCCCCAAGCCTCTACCTTGCCCAACTGGACATGCTCACATCGTTCGCTCCCAGAGCGTTCACTCTTCGTTGCTTGGTCCTTCTTGGTATGATCAGAGCTACACAGTCCCTACGCCCTGCTCAGGACTAGAAAAATTGTCTCCAGACCCCTTCATGATGCTAATGATGCACTACTCGGCGTCCATTGCATCACTCGCATCACCAGACCCCATTTTCACTGCTTTTTCTGACCCTCGCTTTGGAGCGCTCTCCCCCAGCAAGCTCCGGGTTCACCCTCTCAAATGGTGCCTTTTTGCGGCCCCCCCCCACACCCCCTTAACTCACTTCATTCGCTCTAAGAGCTCAAGCCTGGCCTATCGGCTTGCTTTCGTAATTATTTCATTTTATTTCATATCAGTCTTTCAGTGCGTTGTGCTGATTTATCTGTTTTTCCAATTTTATGCAACAGTTCCCCGAAATCCGAAATCTAATCTTTGCTCGTTTCTAATCTTTGCTTCTGCCATCAGCTTGGGTTTTGCCTGCGAGCTCTGCCAGAAGCGCCGCAGGGGGTGCTTCGAGGCGATGCGCGGGACGACGCGCGAGGCGAGGCGCGCGGAGAAGTGCCCTCAGAGGCGGCCTTGGCGCAAAGAGACTGAACCAAGAAAACATGGGATTGTTTTTCATCTCACAAACATAGAATGGCTCATTGAACATCATTGAACTCATGAGAACTCTAAAGTTTTGTCTTTCTGGAGTGCCAAGGCTCCGTCTTTGATTCACGCAGGAACGGTGATCGGTGCTGTCAAAGCGTTTGCTTTCTGATCCATGGGATTACAGTGTGACAAGCCTCCCTTGCTGAGGACCTTTCTCAAAAGATTCAATGTTGCGTTTGAATAGGGCCAAGGCAGCATTCACCCAGGGTCGGAGCCACTCCACACCAGAAACCTGCATTTGCAATGCGGGAATCTAACTGTGTTTCTCTATCATGTTCCTCTCCTTTTCGCTCAAGCTCCACCTCGTACTCCAGCATCCGTTGAAGCGGCAACCAGCCCTTGCCTTAGCCACAATGTGCGAATACAAACATATACCGTATACCTGTACATGCACATTCCTGAGAGGGGATGGGACAAAAACCAGCCTTTCAAAGCAGACTGCAAACATGTATATGTTTACAGCTGCTTGCGGGGACCTAGCTAGATCCCAGAAGATAACACTCCTTTGCCGGTGCTTTTTGCCCAGAACAGACCGCAAACATAGTTTTCAACCAGTATTTTACAGCTACTTGACCTAGCTAGATCCCAGAAAATTGCACTCCTTTGCTGGTGCCCATGTTGTCTTCCCCAAAGCAATGACAAAACGATCAAACGGGGCGCCACCGCCGGACCACTCCTGCCCTCCGAACAGACTGCCAGACATAGCCTTTCAACCTATTTTCTTAACAACTACTATTGGGCAGACCTAGCTAGATCCCAGAAGAGAGCACTCTTTTGCTGGTGCCCATTTTGTCTTCCCCAAAACCATAACAAAACGATCAAATGGGGCACCACCACTCAACTACACATTCCCCTTCCAAACAGACCGCAAACATAGTTTCTCAACGCGCTTTCTTTACAGCTACTTGGGGAGGCCTAGCTAGATCCCAGAAGATAGCACTCCTTCGCTGGTGTCCTTTTTGCCTTCCACAAAGCCACGCATTGGTACTATGTTCATTGGATTGACCTTGAGGCTGCAAAACCAGCGCAAGAGGTCAAAGCATAGGATGAGTGGATTGACCGACTGATAGACTACAGCAACTGAGAAGTCATGTTGGGGGTGCCCTTTTTTAGGATGAAAAGTGCCCAGAGCCGAAAAAGAAAAAAGGGCACCCCCTAGAACGGTGAATGTCCGTGAGACTCTCTGTTTGTGCAGGAGCCGACCCAGCCATATCCTTCAACTCATACATACTCATACATATAATTCGTATACAAGTAGTTCCCGGGCAAGCCGGCGGCGGAAGTTTCCTATAAGAACACATTGACCTATAGGAGTGTCCACGTTCTCTCCACCATGCGTGTCCCTCGTGTCACTCACTGAGCCAAACGCATGCGCTCCGGACTTTTGACACACACACACACACAGCGCCACCTGTGCAAGGTCTGTGCTCCCTGCAGGATCAGCGCACTAAGTTGTGTCTACGCCAAAGCAAGATCACCAGCCCACACCGGCGTGCTGAAGCAACTGGGCATCTGCAAGCGAAAGTTAAGTGCAGCTGGTGCGGGCACGCGAAGTGGGTGGTGTTTTCAAAGTCAAAATCATGTCTTCATTGTCCAGCTTGCCAAATACTCCGCGTACTTTACAGTTGTACTACAAAGTCGCCAGTTCTCATTTTCCAGCTCCCCAGATACTCAGCAGCTAGAGATGACTCAGCAGCGAAAGATGCCTCATCCGCATACTAAAGTTGTACTACAAAGTCGCCAGTTCTCATGGTCCAGCTTGCCAGATACTCCGCGCACGACAGTTGCACTACGACGTCGCCAGTTCTCAGCTTCCAGCTCACACATTGCTCCGCGTACTAAAGTTGTCCTACGAAGTCACCAGTTCTCAGCTTCCAGCTCCCCAGATGCTGTGCCTGCCACGAAATCTGCCCATGGAGGTTCACAAAGTGCTGCGCCTGCCACGAAATCTGCACCTCGACACTCACAAAGTGCTGTGCCTGCGAAGAAATCTGCACATGGAGGTGCACAAAGTGCTGTGCCTGCCACAAAATCTGCACATGGAGGTTCACAAAGTGCTGCGCCTGCCACGAAATCTGCACATGGAGCTTGAGCTGGTGTATGAGCGGTGTATGATGAACGATGTATGATCAGTGGTGTGTGATCAGTCGTGTATGATGAGTGGTGTATGAGGAGTAGTGTATGATGAGTAGTGTATGAGTCGCCAGTTCTCATCGTCCAGCTTGCCAGATACTCCGCGCGCTAAAGTTGCACTACAAAGTCGCCAGTTCTCAGCTTCCAGCTCTACAGATTGCTCCGCGCACTAAAGTTGTGCTGGACAGTCGCCAGTTCTCACCATCCAGCTCCACAGATACTCCGCGTACTAAAGTTGTACTAAAAAGTCGGCAGTTCTCAGCTTCCAGCTCCACAGATACTCCGCGTACTAAAGTTGTACTACAAAGTCGCCAGTTCTCATCGTCCAGCTCGCCACATACTCCGCGTACTAAAGTTGTACTACAAAGTCGCCAGTTCTCAGCTTCCAGCTCCCCGGATGCTGTGCCTGCCACGAAATCTGCACATGGAGGTTCACAAAGTGCTGTGCCTGCGAAGAAATCTACACATGGAGGTGCACAAAGTGCTGTGCCTGCCAGGAAATCTGCACATGGAGGTTCACAAAGTGCTGCGCCTGCCACGACATCTGCGCATGGAGGTTCACAAAGTGCTGTACCTGCCAGGAAATCTGCACGTGGAGGTTCACAAAGTGCTGCGCCTGCCACGAAATCTGCACATGGAGGTGCACAAAGTGCTGTGCCTGCCACGAAATCTGCACTGGGAGGTTCACAAAATGCTGCACTTGCCACGAAATCTGCACATGGAGGTTCCCAAAGTGCTGTGCCTGCCAGGAATTCTGCACATGGAGGTACACAAAGTGCTGCACTTGCCACGAAATCTGCACATGGAGGTTCACAAAGTGCTGTGCCTGCCAGGAAATCTGCACATGGAGGTACACAAAGTGCTGCACCTGCCACGAAATCTGCACATGGAGGTTCACAAAGTAGTGCTGCACCTGCCACGAAATCTTCACTTCAAGAAACAAGTGAAACCTCTAATCCCAATGGACGGACGCTTCCGAGAATGATCCGAGCATGATCCGAGAATGATCCGAGCATGACCCGAGACCGTCTCGCAACCGTCCTTCCGCAGACCTTGACTTGCCAGCTTCGGAGCCACCGGTTCCATTGAAAAATACAGCATTTCGTAAGTTCGCTATCTCTCCGCAACGCATTTTGTATTGCGCCTGCCACGAAATCTGCACATGGAGGTGCACAAAGTGCTGTGCCTGCCACGAAATCTGCACGTGGAGGTTCACAAAGTGCTACACCTGCCACGAAATCTGCACATGGAGGTTCCCAAAGTGCTGTGCCTGCCGGGAAATCTGCACATGGAGGTACGCAAAGTGCTGCGCCTGCCACGAAATCTGGAGGTTCACAAAGTGCTGTGCCTGCCAGGAAATCTGCACATGGAGGTACACAAAGTGCTGCGCCTGCCACGAAATCTGCACATGGAGGTTCACAAAGTGCTGCACCTGCCACGAAATCTTCACTTCAAGAAACAAGTGAAACCTCTAATCCCAATGGACGGACGATTCCGAGAATGATCCGAGCATGATCCGAGAATGATCCGAGCATGACCCGAGACCGTCTCGCAACCGTCCTTCCGCAGACCTTGACTTGCCAGCTTCGGAGCCACCGGTTCCATTGAAAAATACAGCATTTCGTGCGTTCGCTATCTCTCCGCAACGCATTTTGTATTTCGCCTGCCACGAAATCTGCACATGGAGGCGCGCAAAGTGCTGTGCCTGCCACGAAATCTGCACGTGGAGGTTCACAAAGTGCTGCACCTGCCACGAAATCTGCACATGGAGGTTCACAAAGTGCTGCACCTTCCACGACATCTGCACATGGAGGTTCACAAAGTGCTGCACCTGCCACGAAATCTGCACAGGGAGGTTCACAAAGTGCTGCGCCTGCCACGAAATCTGCACCTGGAGCTGGAGTTGCCTGGAGCTTGAGCTGTTGAAACCAGAGCTGGTGTATGAGCGGTGTATGATGAGTGGTGTGTGATCAGTGGTGTATGATG